ATGCCATCTTGGTCATCACACCAGGAGAATTGGGCTTTTGTGTCTCATAATTTTTTTTTTTTTTTGAGACAGTCTCGCTCTGTCACCCAGGCTGGAGTGCAGTGGTGTGATTTCAGTTCTCTGAGAGGCAGAACCTCTGCCTCCCAGGTTCAAGTGATTCTCGTGCCTCAGCCTCCCGAGTAGCTGGGACTACAGGCGCCTACCACCAGACCCAGCTAATTTTTGTATTTTTAGTAGAGACAGGGTTTCTCCATGTTGGCCAGGCTGGTCTCAAAATCCTGACCTCAGGTGATCCACCTGCCTCGGTCTCCCAAAGTGCTGGGAGTGCAGGTATGAGCCACCACACCTGACCGGTTTTTTTTTTTTTTTTTTGAGACGGAGTCTTGCTCTGTGCCCCAGGCTGGAGTGCAGTGGCGCGATCTCGGCTCACTGCAAGCTCCGCCTCCCGGGTTCACGCCATTCTCCTGCCTCAGCCTCCCGAGTAGCTGGGACTACAGGCGCCTGCCACCACGCCCGGCTAATTTTCTTGTATTTTTAGTAGAGACGGGATTTCACTGTGTTAGCCAGGATGGTCTCGATCTCCTGACCTCGTGATCCGCCCGCCTCGGCCTCCCAAAGTGCTGGGATTACAGGCTTGAGCCACCGCGCCCGGCCTGACCTGTTTTATGAGATTACTTATTCTCTTCGAGTCCTTCACCATTTTAATATCATTTAACAGTATACCTTGCAGTAGCTTTTAGTACCTTCTCAGTGTACCATTCCTGCTAATTTCAAGATATTTTCTTTTTTTCTTTTTTCTTTTTTTTTTTTTTTGAGATGGAGTCTTTGCTTTGTTGCTCAGGCTGGAGTGCAGTGGTATGATCTCGGCTCACCCTGCCTCCTGGGTTCACGCCATTCTTCTGCCTCAGCCTCCCCAGTAGCTGGGACTACAGGTGCCCACCATCACGGCCGACTAATTTTTTGTATTTTTAGTAGAGACGGGTTTTCACCATGTTAGCCAGGATGGTCTCGATCTCCTGACCTCCTCATCCGGCCACCTCGGCCTCCCAAAGTGCTGGGATTATAGGCGTGAGCCACCGCGCCCAGCCCAGGATATTTTCAGTGCTCCACAAAGGAATCCTCTACCCGCTAGGTATGCCCACAATTCTCTTCCCCGCGCCAAGCCTCAGGCAACCATGGATCCACCTTCTGTCTCTGGATGGGCCTATCCTGGACATTCCATAGAAATGGAATCACACACCGTGTGACCTTTTGTGTCTCACTTCTGTCACCTGAGTGTGACGTCCTCAAGGTTCATCCATGCTGTGGCCTGGGTCAGAGCCTGGTTTCTTTCCATGGCCAAGTCATATTCTATTGTTATACCACATTTGTTTATCAGTTAATGGACATTTGGGTTGTTTTCAGAGAATGTAGCTTTTAAAAATCTCAATTTCGGCCGGGCGCGGTGGCTCACACCTGTAATCCCAGCACTTTGGGAGGCCGAGGCGGGTGGATCACGAAGTCAGGAGATCAAGACCAACCTGGCTAACACGGTGAAACCCCGTCTCTACTAAAAACACACAAAAAAAATTAGCCGGGCAAGGTGGCGGGCGCCTATAGTCTCAGCTACTCGGGAGGCTGAGGCAGGAGAATGGCGTGAACCCGGGAGGCAGAACTTGCAGTGAGTCGAGATCGTGCCACTGCACTCCAGCCTGGGCAACAGAGCGAGACTTTGTCTAAAAAAAAAAAAAAAACTCAATCTTGCAGGGTGTGGTAGCTTGCACCTGTAATTCCAGTGCTTTGGGAGGTCAAGATGGGAGGATTGCTTAAGCCCAGGAGTTTGAGACCAGCCCGGGCAACATGGTGAATCCCCATCTCTACACAAAAAGAAAAAAAAAGACAAAAAAATTAGCCGGATGTGGTGGGTGTGGTGGCACAAACCTGTAGTTTCAGCTACTCAGGAGGCTGGGGCAGGAGGATCGTCGGAGCCCAGGAAGTTGAGGCTGCAGTGAACCGTGATCGTGCCACTGCACTCCAGCTTGGGTGACAGTGTAAGACTCTGTCTCAAAAACAAACAAACAAAACCTCAGTCTCTTTCTCTCTCCTCAAAAAAAGCAGTTATTGAGAAAAGAAGTGACCTGAGATCACTCGGTCAGGTGTTCCATGCTGGCGAGGCTGGCCTGTGTGCTGCTTGGTGCCTTTGCTGGGAGCTGTGGCAGCACAGCTTGAGTTTGTTGTAACCGCATGGATTTGTCTGTCTCCCCGGTAGACCATGAGCTCCCCAACAGCAGGGACTACGTTTTAGCTGTCTTAGCAGGTGTCCCATGATGTTTGTTGGAGGATCTAGCAGGTGTCCCATGATGGTCCCTGAATGAATGAGTAATGAGGCTGAGGCAGGAGAATCGCTTGAACCCGGGAGGTGGAGGTTGTGGTGGGCCGAGATCGCGCCATTGCACTCCAGCCTGGGCAACAAGAGTGAAATTCCATCTCAAAAAGAAAAAGAAAAAAAAAATCGCCATCTCTGCCGAGTACAGTGGCTCACATGTGTAATCCCAGCACTTTGGGAGGCCAAAGCGGGCGGATCACGAGGTCAAGAGATCGAGATCATCCTGGTCAACATGGTGAAACCCTGTCTCTACTAAAAATACAAAAAATATACCTGGCGCTCATATGTTTTCCTCCTGCAAACATGAGCCACCCATGGCCTAACTCTTCATCCTCCTCTTCACCACCTCCACCCCCTTCTCTGTGCCCCATATGAGTTTATGTCTGCTGCTTCCGGTTCCCAGGGGGACCTTTATTGGTGCCGTTCCTGTTCTCTGGAATGCGGCTAGCTCCGACCCCTTCCCATGTTTCTGACAACTCTGTGAAAATGTGACATCCTCTGAGGGGCCTCCCTGACCACCCAGTGCTAAATACTCTCCTCTCTTTTCTCTCTCTCTCTTTTTTCAGTGCTAAATACCTCCTCTCTTTTCTCTCTCTCTCTTTTTTTTTTTTTTTTTTTTTTTTTGAGATGGAGTCTCACCTGGGCTTCTCATCCAGGCAGGGAGTGTAGTGGTGTGATCTTGGCTTCACTGCAACTCCGCTTCCTGCCTGGGCCAATTCTCTGCCTCAACCTCCCGAGTAGCTGGGATTACAGGTGCCCACCACCACACCCAAGCCAATGTTTGTATTTTTAGTAGAGACAGGGGTTTCACCACCCTGGCCAGGCAGGTCTTAAACTCCTGACCTCATGATCCACCCACCCCGGCCTCCTGTGCTGCTAGGATTGAGGCAGAGGCGTGAACCACTGCACCCAGGTTCTCTCTCTTTTAGAAATAGGGTCTTGCTCTGTCACTCAATCTGGAGTGCAGTGGTGTCATCACAGCTCACTGCAACCTCTGCCTCCGGGGCTCAAGCGATGCTCCCATCTCAACCACCTAAGCAGCTGGGACCTCAGGCCCCCGCCACTACACCTCGCTAATATGTGCACCTTTTGTAGAGAGGGGGTTTCGCCATGTTGCCCAGGCTGGTCTTAAACTCCTGGGCTCAAATGATCCTTCTGCCTTGGCTCCCAAAGTGCTGGGATTACAGCCGTGAGCCACCAGCCCTCCTCCTCCTCTCTCAATCCTCACAACCATACGCCCGTGTATTCTTCCTGCCTGTCACCATGATTTGGAATTGTCTGTGTTTAAATGGCACTGTTCAGGGTCTCCTGCTAGAAAGTCAGCTCCCAGGGGCAGGGGAGCATGCCACGGTCACTTCTGTGTTCTTGATGCCCCCGGCCCAGTGCCCGACACTCATGACTGCTCAGCAGACTTTGGCTGAGTGTATGACCCAGTCACGTGCCTGGCACACAGGAAGCATCAGATAGGTGTTTGTGATTTCTGTGGCTGTCACTGCCTGAGCGGGCATTTTGAGTGTAGGAGAAATAGCAGTGCCTGGACGGTAGAAGCCCAGAGGTCTTGTCCTAGTTTGGCTTCCTCCTCATGATAATTGAATGACTTAAAAAAAAGAAAAACAGCAACCATTCTTTTCTTTATTTTTTTGAGACAGAGTCTCGCTCTGTCGCCCAGGCTGGAGTGCAGTGGTGCGATGTTGGCTCACTGCAAGCTCTGCCTCCCGGGTTCATGCTGTTCTCCTGCCTCAGCCCCCGGAGTAGCTGGGACTACAGGCGCCCGCCACCACGCCTGGCTAATTTTTTGTATTTTGTAATAGAGACGGAGTTTCACCGTGTTAGCCAGGATGGTCTCGATCTCCTGACCTCGTGATCGGCTCGCCTCGGCCTCCCAAAGTGCTGAGATTACAGGTGTGAGCCACCGCGCCCGGCCCATTTCTTTTCTTTCTTTATTTTTCTGAGACAGAGTCTCACTGTTGCCCAAGCTGGAGCGCAATGGCGCGATCTCGGCTCATTGCAACCTCCACCTTGCCAGTTCAAGTGATTCTCCTGCCTCAGCCTCCTGATAGCTGGGATTATAGGCACCTGCCACCACACCGAGATAATTTTTGTATTTTTAGTAGAGATAGAGTTTTGCCATGTTGGCCAGGCTGGTCTCAAACACCTGACCTCAGGTGATCTGCCTGCCTCAGCCTCCCAAAGTGCTGGGATTACAGGCGTGAGCCTCTGCGCCTGGCCAAGGCAACCATTTCTGAACCTCTTGACATGGTCTGGTCACTGCCCTAGGTGTTCCACCTCCCACTTCCGTGCTTTCCTGGTCATAGGCCTCTGAGGTCAAAACTGAGCCATCCCCATTGCCCAGATGTGGTCACTGAGGCACAGAGAGGTTGAAGTAACTTGCCCCAGGTTTAACCCTGAAGCCCATGGCCCAACCCCAGTGCCCACCATACACGAATCCACTTCACTCTCCTGCCTTCGTTCTCCGGCCCTTCTGGGCCTCAGTTTCCCCATTTGTAAAGCCAGAAGACAACACCCCTGACATTCAGGATCCCGCGTGCAGTTACCGTCCTCTGGGTCACAGTCGTGATGGGGAAATCCGCCCGAGACTGGTGGTGACGCTCGGTCTCTGCCCCGACTCCCACAGCCGGTGAGCTCTTCCGACAGCGAGGCCCCCGAGGCCAACCCCGCTGGCGGCAGTGAGGCTGACGAGGACGACGAGGACCGGGGAGTCATGGCCGTCACAGCAGTGACTGCCACAGCTGCCAGCGACAGGATGGAGAGCGACTCGGACTCAGACAAGAGTAGCGACAACAGTGGCCTGAAGAGGAAGACGCCTGCGCTAAAGGTAGGAGAGGACCAAGGCGGGCTGGCTCTTCATCCCCTCGCCCTGATGTCTCTCCTGGCAGCTTGCTGTCCCTCCCCTGCCTTTTTTTTTTTTTTTTTTTTGGAGACACTCTGTCGCCCAGGCTGGAGTGCAGTGGCGTGATCTTGGCTCACTGCAACCTCCGCCTCCCAGGTTCAAGCAATTCTTCTGCCTCAGCCTCCGTAGTAGCTGGGATTACAGGCACCCGCCACTGCGCCGGGCTAAGTTTTGTATTTGTAGTAAAGATGGGGTTTCACCAGGTTGCCCAAGTTGGTCTTGAACTCCTGACCTCAGGTGATCTGCCCACCTTATTCTCTCACAGTGCTGGGATTACAGTCTTGAGCCGCTGCACGTGGCCGCCTTTCCTTTTTTTTTTTTTTGAGACACAGTTGCCTCTGTCACCCAGGCGGGATTGCAGTGGCGCACAATCTTGGCTCACGGCAACCTCCGCCACCTGGGTTCCAGCGATTACCCTGCGTGAGCCTCCCCAGTAGCTGGGAATATGGGCATCCGCCATCATACCACACCCGGCTAATTTTTTTTTTGAGACAGAGTCTCGTTCTCTCCCCAGGCTGGAGTGCAGTGGCGTGATCTCAGCTCACTACAACCTCCACCTCCTGGGTTCAAGAGATTCCCCTGCCTCAGCCTCCAAAGTAGCTGAGATTACAGGCGTCCACCAGCACGCCCGGCTAATTTTCGTATTTTAATAGAGACAGGGTTTCACCATGTTGGCCAGGCTGGTCTTGATCTCCTGACCTCGTGATCCACCCGCTTCGGCCTTGCAAAGTGCTGGGATTACAGGCGTGAGCCATGGTGCCTGGCCTGGCCCCTTTCTTTAATATAACTGTTTTTCAGTATGCATTAAACAAAAATTGAGTTATAGTCCATACACCATGAGATTCATCCTTCCTGAGTATACACCTCAGTGGTTTTTAGTGTGTTCATGGAATTGTGCAACCATTACTATTATTCCAGGAGATTTCCATCACCCCAGAAAGAAAACTGGTCTTCCATCAGCTGTCACTCCACAGCCCCTCCTCTGGCCCCAGGCACCCACGCATCCCCTTCCTGCCTCTGTGGAGGGGCCTGTCCTGGACATTTCATAGAAATGGGATGACACACTGCATGGCCTTTGTGTCTGCCTTCCTTCGCCAAGTGTGACGTCCTCAGGGTGCATCTGTGCTATGGCGTGGGTCAGCTCCATTCATTTTATTTATTTATATATTTTGAGACGGAGTCTAGTTCTGTCGCCCAGGCTGGAGTGCAGTGGCACGATCTCTGCTCACTGCATCCTCCACCTCCCGGGTTCAAGCAGTTCTTTTGCCTCAGCCTCCCGAGTAGCTGGGATTACAGGGGCCCGCTACCATGCCCGGCTAATTTTGTATTTTTAGTAGAGATGGGGTTTCTCCATGTTGGCCAGGCTAGTCTCGAACTCCTGACCTCAAGTGTCCCTCCCGCCTCGGCCTCCCAGAGTGCTGGAGTTATAGGTGTGAACCACCGCGCCCGGCCACCTCCCTTCCTTTTCCTGGCCGGGTCAGATTCCAGTGTGTGGAGGGAACATGGTGTTGATCCACCTGTCTCTGGCCATTTGGGTGGTTTCCACTTTTGGGCCGTTCCAGATCAGGCTGCCGTGAACGTTTCTTGACAGGGTTTTGTGTAGATGTGTGTTTTCCATTCTCCTGGGTATAGTCTGTCCTGCCTTTTGACCACTTCTTATTATTTGGGTGTAGAAACAAAGAACCAGATTCTAGCAGCAAATTCTTTTGATAGAGTAACGTGTATTTTGTATTATTTTTTGATTCTAAAGTGATGAGCCATATTTGTAGTAGATAACTTGGAAAATGCAAAAAACATAGAGAAGCTTGAAAAAAATACCTGTAGTATATGAGGGGTTTCTGAGCCAAGCAAGGATTATTTCTTTTTTTTCTTTCTTTTTTTGGGGGGGGTGGGGGGCGGGGATGGAATTTCACTCTTGTTGCCCAGGCTGGAGTGCAATGGTGCGATCTCGGCTCACCGCAACCTCCACCTCCCAGGTTCAAGCAATTCTCCTGCCTCCGCCTCCTGAGAAGCTGGGATTACAGGCATGCGCCACCACATACCACGCCTGGCTAATTTTGTATTTTCTTTTTCTTTCTTTTTTTTTTTTTTTTTTGAGACGGAGTCTCACTCTGTCGCCCAGGCTGGAGTGCAGTGGTGCAATCCCGGCTCACTGCAAGCTCTGCCTCCTGGGTCCACGCCATTCTGCCTCAGCCTCCCGAGGTGGTTGGGACTACAGGTGCCACCACCATGCCCAGCTAATTTTTTGTATTTTTAGTAGGGATGAGGTTTCCCTTGTGAGCAGGATAGTCTCGATCTCCTGACCTGGCAAATCTGCCCGCCTCGGCCTCCCAAAGTGCTGGGATTAGGCGTAGGCCACGCGCCCGACCTAATTTTGTATTTTCAGTAGAGATGGGGTTTCTCCATGTCGGTCAGGTATTCTCAAACTCCAACCTCAGGTGATCTACCGCCCTCGGCCTCCCGATGCTAGAATTACAGGCATGAGGCACCGCGCCCAGCCAAAATTAGCCATTTTTAAGTGCACCATTTGGCAGTATTAAGCCACATTCACGTGGTTGTGCAGCCATCCACACCATCATCTCCAGAACTTTCTGGGCTGTCTTCCCAAGCTGAGAATGCTGTCCCATGAAACCTCACTCCCACCCACTCCACGGCCCTGGTGCCCCCACCCCTACTTTCTGTCTCTGTGAATCTTGATGGCCCTAGGACCTCCTATAAAGGTTTGTCTTTTTGTGACTGGCTCCGCTTTCACCGGGCATAATGTCGCCGGGTTCAGATCCCTGGCGAACGCATTGGCTCCACGCCTATAATCCCAGCACTTTGGGAGGCTTCAAGGCAGAAGGCGGATCAGGAAGTCAGGAGATCGAGACCATCCTGGCTAACACGGTGAAACCCCGTCTCTACTAATGCAAAACTGGCCGGGCGCGACATGGCGCCTGTAGTCCCAGCTACTCGGGAGGCTGAGGCAGGAGAATGGCGTAAACCCGGGAGGCGGGGCTTGCAGTGAGCCGAGATCGAGTCACTGCACTCCAGCCTGGGCGACAGAGCGAGACTCATCTCAAAAAAAAAAAAAAAGATCCCTGGCTTTAGTAGGTTCTCACAGGAGTTGCTGGCCCTCCATAGAGTTTCCAGGCTCAGCTGCTTAAGTAGGCGGTGGGCAGTCAGAGCGGGAGGCTTCCCCTGCCAGAGCCCGGCCTGCCTGTCGCTGAGCATTGAGGCGGTTCCTTTCCAGATGTCAGTCTCGAAGCAGGCCGAAGGCCTCCAGCGGCCTGGATCAGGCCAATGTCCCCATCCGAAGAGGAGGGCTGGAAGCTCATCTGAGTCCCGGGAGAGACCAGCGACCAGGTGGGCTGGTGGCTCCTTGGGGCCAGCAGGGAAAGCGCAGTGGCTGCCAATGGGGCCAGTTCAGCTGTGTCCCCAGGACTTCACACAAGAAAGCACAGTGAGTCAGGCGCCGCGGGAAGAGAGGCACCTAGAGACGGAAAAGGTAGCGTGCATTTGACTTTGTTTCCATGCACGCCTGGGGGCACCTCTGCAGTCTCTGGCACTATCCCCAGGGTGGAGTGGAGGCCATTTCTGGAGGGTGGGACCCAGGCGCAGGAACCCCAGGGGGACTGCATCTGCCCTGAGCATGGCACCTCGCTGCCAGGCCAGGCTGCCTCCAGGGAGCCCACTGTCCGGTTTGGAAAGGCATTCTGGGATGCTGGCATTAGAAGGGAGGAAGCAGTCCTCAGAAGCCTGGGGAGGAGACAGCGGGAGGCGAGAGGTAGGAGGGAGAGAGGGGGGACAGAGCGGGAGAGAGAGAGAGAGGAGGAGGAGGTGTGTGCCAGTGCATGTGGGCGTGTGTGTGTTGTCTCTGTGCACGTGTCACGTGCGTGTGTGTGTCTTATGTGCATGCATGTTTGTGACCAATATGCGTGTGTGTGCAGTGTGTGTGGAAGGTTGTGCATGTGTGATGTGTATTTAATGTACTTGCACCTGCTCGTACCTTTTCTATTGCTGTGTCCCTGTCCTGTGTGTGTATGTGCTGTGCCTGTGTTCCAGTGTGAGTATATATGATGCCTGTGTATGCGTGTGTCCCTGTGTGCATGGTGTGTTCATGTATCTGTGTAATACATGTGTCCATGTGTATGTCAGCATGTGTGTGTTGCATTCGTTTTGCTGTATCGTGTGGTGTGTGTTGTATCTGTGTAATGTAATTATCTGTGTATTTATGTATCTGGTGTGTCTGTGTGTGTAGTGTGAGTACATGTGTGTATGTTTTTGTGTGTATGTTATCTGTGGTGTATCTGGTGTATATGTCACCATGTTGTGTGTATGGTCATGGTGTGTGGTCTGTGTGGGTGTGTGGCTGTAGTCTGTGTGTCTGGTGTATTATGTGTTATCTGTGGTGTGTGTAAATTATGTGTGTCTTTGCGTGTGGTGTGTGTAGTGTGTATGTGCTGTTATCCGTGTGTGTAGATTATGTGGTATATGTTGTCTGTGGTCTGTGTGTGGTGTATGTGTATGGTGTGTGTGTGGTGTGTGTATAGTATGTAATGTTATGTGTGTATTAGTCTGTGTAATTATCTGTGTTGTGTGGTGTGTGGTATGTGTGTTATCTATGTGTGTTATCTATGTATTATCTGTGTGGCATATGTGTGTGGTGTATGTTGTGTGTTATCTCTGTGTGTGTGGTGTGTATGTTGTCTGTGTTGTGTGTGGTGTGCGTGGTGTGCTTGGTGTGTGAATTGTCATGTGTGGTGTGTGTGTTGTCTATGTGTGGTGTGTGTGTGTGGTGTGTGGGTGTGTGGTGTGTGTGTGTGAAGTGTGTGTATTTGTCTGGTGTGTGTGATCTGTGTGGTGTGTTATCTGTGTGGTGTGTGTTATCTGTGGTGTGTATTTGTCTGCTGTGGTATGTGTGTGTTGTGTGTATTGTCTGTGTGTGAATTGTGTGTGTTGTCTGTAGGTGTGTGTTTGTGTGTGTGTTGTCTGTGTGTGAATTGTGTGTGCTTATCTGCTTAGGTGTGTGTTGTGTGTGGTTATGTATGTCTGTGGGTGTGTGGTGTGTGGTGTATCTGAGTGTGTGGTGTGTGTATCTGTGTGGTGTGTGTGAGTATGTTGTCTGTGTGTGGTGTATTATGTGTGTTTGGTGTGTGGTATGTTGTCTGTGAATTGTGTGTGTTGTCTGTCATGTGAATTGTGTGTATTATCTGTGTGGTGTGGTGTCTGTGGTGTGTCTGTGTGTGTGGTGTGTGTGTTATCTGCCTTGGTGTAGTATTATTATCTGTGTGGTGGTGTGTCTGTATGTGGTGTGTAATTATGTTATCTACTGTGTGGTGTGTGTGGGTGTCTCTGTGTGTGTATGGTGTGTATTTGTGTGGTGTATAAACATCTGTGTGGTGTGTGGTATCTGTGTGTGTGTAGTGTGTGTATTGTGTGTTTTTTCTGTGTGGTATGTGTGGTATCTGTATGGTGTGTGTGCACTCTGTATGTATGTGGTGTGTGTATTTGTGTGTGGTGGTGTAGTGTCTGCTGTGTATCTTTTTATGGTGTGTGTGCGTTGTGTGTATTTGTGTGGTGGTGTGTCTGTGTGGTGTGTGTGAATTGTCTGTGTGTGGTGTGTGGTGTGTGTTGTGTGGTGGGTGTGTGTGTAGTTATCTGGTGTGGTGCTGTGTTGTATCATATGCATGTGTTATCTGTGTGGTGTGTATTATCTGTGGTGTGTGTATCTGTGAACATGTGTATGTGTGGTCTGTATGTGTAATTAATGTTTGTGTGTATTATCTGTGTGGTGTGTGGTGTCTGGTGTTGTGGTATCTGTGGTTGTGTCTGTGTGTGGTGTATCTGTGTGGTGTGCCTTGAATTGTCCTGTGTGGTGTGTGGCAATTATCTGTGGTGTTGTCTGTGTGTGTGTGGTGTGTGTGTTATCACCCTTGGTGTAGTAGCTGATTATCTGGTGTGTGTGGTGTCTCTGTGTGTGTGGTGTGTTGCTTGTGTATTTATCTGTGAATTGTGTGTGGTGTGTTGTGTGTGTTATCTGTGTAAAGATTGTGTGTGGTGTTGTAGTTATCTGTGTGGTTGTATGGGTATCTATTATGGGTATCTATGTGGTATGTGTGGTGTGTGTGGTGTTTTGTGGGTGTCTGTGTGGTTGTGTGATGGTGTCTGTGTTAGTTAATATGTGGTGTGTGTGGGTGTTGTGGGTATCTGTGTGGTTTGTGTGATGTGTTAACAATTATCTATGTGGTATGTGGTGTGTGGTGTTGTGGTGTCTGTGTGGTTGTGAGTGTGTGTGGTGTCTATGGTATGTGGTGTGTGTGGTGTTGTGGGGTATCTGTGTGGTTGTGGTCATGTGGTATCTGTGTGGTATGTGTGGTATGTGTGGTGTGTGTATCTGTGGTGTGTGTGGTATCTGTGTGGGTGTGTGGTGTGTGGTGTCTGTGGTGTGTGCTTGTGTGGTGTGTGTGGTGTGTGTATCTGCTGTGGTTATGTGTATTTATCTGGTGTGTATATAATTATCTGTGTGAATTATTTATGTGGTGTCTGTGGTGTTGTGGTGTCTGTGTGGTGTCTGTGTGGTGTGTGTGGTGTCTGTGTGGTTATCTGTGTGGTGTGTGTGTTGTGGTGTGGTGTTACTTGAGTGTTATCTGGGTATCTGTGTAGGTATATGCTTATTCTATCTGTGGTGTGTGTGTCTGTGTGGTGTATGGTGTTGTGGTGTCTGTGTGGTTTGTGTGGTGGTGTGTGGTGTCTGTGTGTGGTGTGTGTGGTGTTATTGCCTGTCTGTGGTGTTGTGCTGTCTGTGGTGTCTGTGTGGTATGTACTATCTGTGGTGTGTATCTGTGTGGTGTGTGTGGTGTTGTGTCTAACCTTGGTTGCATGGTGTATTATGAATTATCTGTGTGGTGTGTAGCAATGGTGTGTGGTGTTGTGGGTATCTGTGTGGTGTTGTGGTGTCTGTGGGTGTTATGGTGTCTGTGTGTAGTTATCTATGTGTATATGTGCTATCTGTGGTGTGTGTATCTGTGTAATTGTGGTGTTGCCTTGGGTATACTGTGTGGCATGTGTGTGCGGCAGGGTACTCAGGGTGGAGGCGGTGGAGGCAGAGCCCAGTTTGTGTGGCGTGGCCTCACGCCGGGATTTTGCACGGAGAGTTCCCCTGGAACCCAGGTTCCAGTCCACCCGGTTCACTGAGAGGCCCTTGGCTGCCAGCGTGCAGGGCCGCCTGGGATCCCGGTTTCCAGTTAGGCGGAGGTGGAGTTTTGTAGGTCGGGAGGTTCGGGCCGGGGCCTGCAGGCCTGGGCGGCTCTTTGAGGTGCAGAAGCCTCAACGCTGGCCTGCACAGGCCCGCTTCTCCGCGAGGGCCTCCTGATGCTCACGCCTGTCTTGGCCTGGGGCGCCCCGCTTCTCACGGGGGCCTCCTGATGCTCACGCCTGTCCCTGCTTCTCCCCAGAAGGCGCCGTCAGCCTCCGACTCTGACTCCAAGGCAGATTCGGACGGGGCCAAGCCTGAGCCGGTGGCCGTGGCGCGGTCGGCGACCTCCTCCTCGTCTTCCTCCTCCTCCTCCGACTCCGACGTGTCTGTGAAGAAGCCTCCGAGGGGCAGGAAGCCAGGTAGGGTCCTGGTGCTCGCAGCCTCTTGGCTGGCCCGTGCCGGGGCGCTCCCGGGCAGTCCCCTGGTCACCTTGGAGGCCTGGAAGGGAAGGTCACCGCCTCCTCCTCTTCCTGTAGCCGAGAAGCCTCCCCCGAAGCCGCGAGGGCGGAAACCGAAGCCTGAACGGCCTCCGTCCAGCTCCAGCAGTGACAGGTGGGTGCTGGGGCTGGGGTCCCCCTGGCGGCGCCTCCATCGGCTGAGGGGCAGGGCGGGCTCCCGATGGAGGAACGGAGGCCCCCAACTGCCCCCTCCGCCTCCAGTGACAGCGACGAGGTGGACCGCATCAGTGAGTGGAAGCGGCGGGACGAGGCGCGGAGGCGCGAGCTGGAGGCCCGGCGGCGGCGCGAGCAGGAGGAGGAGCTGCGGCGCCTGCGGGAGCAGGAGAAGGAGGAGAAGGAGCGGAGGCGCGAGCGGGCCGAGCGCGGGGAGGCTGAGCGGGGCAGCGGCGGCAGCAGCGGGGAGGAGCTCAGGGAGGACGATGAGCCCGTCAAGAAGCGAGGACGGAAGGGCCGGGGCCGGGGTCCCCCGTCCTCCTCTGACTCTGAGCCCGAGGCCGAGCTGGAGAGAGAGGTGAGCCGGGAGGGCGCTGGGAGTCCCTGCTTCACTCTACACGTTTATCAAGCATCTACTAGGTACGAGGCAGTGTCCCAGGTGCTGGGACACAGCAGGAAAGCAGTATGTCGGCCCAGAAACCCCTGCCCTGGAGCAGGGGACATTGATGGGAGGGAGGGGGCCGGGAATGGTGGCTCACGCCTGTTATCCTAGCACTTTGGGCAACTGAGGTGGGACGATTACTTGAGCCCAGTTCGAGACCAGCCTGGGCAAGATAGAGAGACCCCGTCTCTATAAAAACCTTAAAAAATTAGCTGGGTGTGGTGGTGTGCACCTGTAGTCCCAGCTGCTTAGGTGGCTGAGGCAGGAGGTTTGCTTGAGGCCAGGAGTTGGAGGCTACAGTGAGCTGTCATCAATCCACTGCACTCCAGCCTGGGTGACATAGCAAGACCCTGTCTCAAAACAAAACAAGGGAGGGAGGAGCTGTACAGATGACGACATCAGGGTAGTTGCTGTCCGGAGTATTCAGTGCTAAGGAGAAGGGTAAAGTGGGGTAGGGGGTTTCTCTTTTAAATAGGGTGGACCCTGAAGGTGTGAGTAGACTCCAAAGGCTTGTGTTTGGGTTTAAGTAAAGCTACAAATGGGCCAAACACAGTGGCTCACGCCTGTAATCCCAGCACTTTGGGAGGCCGAGGCAGGCAAATCACGAGGTCAAGAGATTGAGACCAGCCTGGCTAACACAGTGAAACCCTGTCTCTACTGAAAATACAAAAACATTAGGCATTGTGGTAGGCGTCCGTAGTCCCAGCTACTCGGGAGGCTGAGGCAGGAGAATGGCGTGAACCCGGGAGGCGGAGCTTGCAGTGAGTCAAGATTGTGCCACTGCACTCCAGCCTGGGTGACAGAGTGAGACTCCGTCTTAAAAAAAAAAAAAAAAAAGACTCCGAATGAAGGGAGGGGATCTATGAAGACTCCTGGGAGGGGACACATTCTAGGCAGGAGAAGCAGCTCACACAGAGGCCCAGAGGGCTGCTCCTGGTGTGCTGGAGGAACAGCGAGGCAGCCTCTGCGGCTGGAGCAGAGGGAGGAGGGGAGAGAGGGAAAAGGGGAGTGGGGAGGGGACAGGGCAGGCCGGACAGGGCCTCGTGGGCTGCAGGGAGGATTTGGGCTTTGACCCTGAGGGAGGTGGGAGCCACGGAGGGCACTGGACAGGGGAGGGACAGGCCCTCACTCAGGTGCTCTTGGGTGCCCTCTGGCTGCCGCTGGGTGCAGCTTGCAGGTGAGCGTGGGAGCAGGTAGGAGGCCTCCTAGAGTGGTGACTGTTGGGCCTCTCCTGTATCACGTGTGGGGCTGTGAGCGCTATCACGCCCTCTACCCTCGTGGAGATACAGGCAGTGTGGCCTGAATCCAGAGAGTCTGACCTAGACTGAGCCCTGGACCCCACGTGTCCCTCGGCCAGGCCTACCTTCTTTGGGGAAAGTAGGAACAACGCCGTGTTCTCTCTGTCACTCTGTCACAGAAAGGACACCGAACTCCTGGTGCAGGAGGCACTCCAGCCACAGCCCAGGACTGCTGGGCAGAAAGAGTGCAGGGGGCTGCTCCTCTGCTGGGTGGGGCCTGGGCTCCAAGAACTCCACGATCCACTCAGGACCGGACACTGGGTCCTCCCTCCCCTCCCATCCTACGCCAGCACCTTCAAACAGTGTGGAGGGCAGCAGAAAGGGTCCAGCGGCGTCCCCTAGTAGTGGGATGGGCTAGGGGTCTGGGTAATCCCCTTTCCACTGCTCCAACGTGCCCTTCCTGACTGCTGTAGGCCAAGAAATCAGCGAAGAAGCTGCAGTCCCCAAGCACAGAGCCCGCCAGGAAACCCGGCCAGAAGGAGAAGAGAGCGCGGCCCGAGGAGAAGCCACAAGCCAAGTGAGCCTTGCTCCGCCCCCTCCACACCAGGGGGATCCTGCACGCTGCATCGCCCCGCAACCCGCATCACCCCGCAACCCTCACCCGTTCCAGGGGCAGTCCCAGCTCTGAGCTCAGCCTTGGAGCCAGACCCAGTAGAAGTTCCTGGTCCTTGGGGTGTATGGGCTGCGTTGGAATCGCTGCTGTGGGAGCGGGATCTTTTCCCAGCTCAGGGGTCTCCCCCGAGGTGATCCCGCCCCCAGAAACACTGGGCCAGTCCAGGGACATCTGTGGTTGTCATGACTGGGGGGTGCTTCGGGAATGGAGCGGGTGGAGGCCGGGGACACTGCTGAGCGCCCTGTAGGGCCCAGAACGACCCATCCCAGAGAACAGTCCATCCCCAGTGTCTACAGAGCAGAGGAGGAAGGAGAAACTGCACCCCGGCCTAGGGGCTTGCATCTTGGTTTCCCTGTAATGGGGAGACAGCCCATCTCCCAGCTCACTTTCTTTTTTCTTTTTTTTTTAGACGGAGTCTCGCTCTTGCTCACAGGCTAGAGTGCAGTGGCGCAACCTCGGCTCACTGCAACCTCTGCCTCCTGGGTTCAAGCGATTCTCCCGCCTCAGCCTCCTGAGTAACTGGGATTACAGGCACCTGCCACCACTCCCAGCTAATTTTTGTATTTTTAGTAGACACGAGGTTTCACCATGTTGGCCAGGCTGATCTCAACTTCTTAACCTCGTGATCCACCCTTCTCAGCCTTCCAAAGTGCTGGGATTGCAAGCGTGAATCACCGCACCCAGCCCCAGCCCACTTTCTTTTTTTTTTTTTGTCTTTGAGATGGAGTCTCGCTCTGCCAAGCTGGAGTGCAGTGGTGCGATCTCGGCTCACTGCAACCTCCGCCTCCCATGTTCAAGCGATTCTCCTGCCTCAGCCCCCCAAGTAGCTGGGACTACAGGCGCGTGCCACCATGCGCGGTTAATTTTTTGTATTTGTAGTTGAGACGGGGTTTCACCGTGTTAGCCAGGATGGTCTCCAGATCCTGGCCTCGTGATCCACCCGCCTCAGCCTCCCAAAGTGCTGGGATTCCAGGCGTGAGCCACCACGCCTGGTTCCCCAGCCCACTTTCTTTTTTTTTTTGAGACGGAGTCTTGCTGTGTAGCCCGGGCTGGAGTGCAGTGGCCGGATCTCAGCTCACTGCAAGCTCCGCCCACTTTTTTTTTTTGAGACGGAGTTCTGCTGTGTAGCCCGGGCTGGAGTGCAGTGGCCGGATCTCGCCTGCCGGCAAGCTCCGCCTCCCGGGTTTACGCCATTCTCCTGCCTCAGCCTCCGGAGTAGCTGGGACTACAGGCGCCCGCCACCCCGCCCGGCTAGTTTTTTTGTATTTTTTAGTAGAGACGGGGTTTCACCGTGTTAGCCAGGATGGTCTCGATCTCCTGACCTCGTGATCCGCCCCGTCTCGGCCTCCCAAAGTGCTGGGATTACAGGCTTGAGCCACTCGCCCGGCCTCCAGCCCACTTTGCCCGAGGGGGTGGACCCAAATCTGCTGCAAAGGAAACCTTTGGGAGGCCCTGGGAGCTAAGCCAGGAAATGGGAGATGGGGAGGCCCTGCCACGGCCTAGGCCTAGGGCAGACCAGGGCGGCCACAGGCTCGAGCTGACCAAAGATACAAGCCTTTTCCTGGGTTCTTAAGAAATCCCGGGGTTCTTTTCCTCGTTCACGTAGCCAAGGGCTGGCTTTTTCTACCCGAGTCAGTGAGCTAGGAAAAGGCCCTCAAGGGTGACACGCATGCAGGAGGGGAGGCCCATTGCTGAGGCTCGGTGCTGCGTGCTAAATGGCATCTGGCCTCGGGTGGGCAAACCTGCCCGTGAGGACTTGGCATGTGGGTATGGCAGTGATGGGGTGCAGAGCAGCACGCAGCACCGAGCCTCAGCAATGGGCCTCCCCTCCTGCATGCGTGTCACCCTTGAGGGCCTTTTCCTAGCTCACTGACTCGGGTAGAAAAAGCCAGCCCTTGGCTACGTGAACGAGGAAAAGAATCCCGGGATTTCTTAAGAACCCAGGAAAAGGCTTGTATCTTTGGTCAGCTCGAGCCTGTGGCCGCCCTGGTCTGCCCTAGGCCTAGGCCGTGGCAGGGCCTCCCCATCTCCCATTTCCTGGCTTAGCTCCCAGGGCCTCCCAAAGGTTTCCTTTGCAGCAGATTTGGGTCCACCCCCTCGGGCGCTAGCCCCTCAGTGGCAGAGCGCCGGTGGCGGGGCCTGACTAAGGGGAGCACTTCTTCACAGGCCCGTGAAGGTGGAGCGGACCCGGAAGCGGTCCGAGGGCTTCTCGGTGGACAGGAAGGTAGAGAAGAAGAAAGGTGAGGCCTGGCTGCCCAGCACTGCCCACACTGAGTTCGTTGAGGGGAACGGGGACAGCCATGCCGTGGCCGGCCTGTCTTGCCTATCCCTAGAGAGGGTGCTCTGCACATCAGGGGTGCCTGCATGGTTGGGGGCTGAGCCTGCAGACCTGGGGCCCCCATTTCAACTCCTCCAGAGGCTCTCAGTCTCCTGTCACCGAGCAGCTGGCCGCCTGTGGCCCTGCCTGGGCCCACGCAGTGCTCTCTCCCCCGCCCAGAGCCCTCCGTGGAGGAGAAGCTGCAGAAGCTGCACAGTGAGATCAAGTTTGCTCTCAAGGTCGACAGCCCGGTAAGACCCTCGGGGCCCCTGAGCCAAGCAGTTCCCACTGCCACCTCCCCGTGGGGCTCCCTTAGAAGTCTGGGGAAACTGAGACAAAGCTGGGGTCCTGCGGGTGGGTGGGCCGGGAGTCTGTTCCAGTTGGTAGTGAGCATATGGGGTCTCCTGGCCCAGGGCCCTGGGGGAGCCGGTCCTGACATGCAGCACCCAGTGTTCCCGGCAGGTGGTGCGTGGAGGCCCCCAGGACCAACGCCCACGCACCTGGGACCCCAAGTATCTGCCTGTCCCTGGAATTCCACGTCAGCCGGACAGGGGCTTGGGTGTGGGGCTGTTCTGCGGATTCCGCCCCCCTCAGGGAGAGCCCAGGATGTCTTCCTCTGCCCGTTGGGGCCCTGGGACCCCTGGGGACCCCTTGGCCAGGCCGTCCCCCTCACTCCCACCCCACCCTGCAGGACGTGAAGAGGTGCCTGAATGCCCTAGAGGAGCTGGGCACCCTGCAGGTGACCTCTCAGATCCTCCAGAAGAACACAGACGTGGTGGCCACCTTGAAGAAGGTATGGTGGGAACCAGAGGCGCAGGGTGCGGGCGGGGGAGCTGGGAGCAGGTGTCTGCCCGGGAGCCCAGGGCCCCAGCAGGTTCCTGTCGGGGCAGCCCTGGGTCGGTGAGGAGGACGTGGGCTGCCGGGTAGAAATGCCCATTGCTGGCCGGGCGCGGTGGCTCACACCTGTAATCCCAGCTATTCAGGAGGCTGAGGCAGGAGAATCGCTTGAACCTGGGAGGCGGAGGTCACGGTGAGCTGAGATTGTGCCACTGCACTCCAGCCTGGGTGACAGAGTGAGATTCTGTCTCAAAAAAAAAAAAAAAAGAAACGCCCGGCGCACAGAGCTGTGCTCCCAGGAGGCTCTGTGGGAGGGTGCATTGCCGGGGCAGGGGCCCAGGGCCCGGGCGAGGGCCGTTGCACTTGGGTGAGCCAGGCCTCTTCTCTTGGTGGCCAGATTCGCCGTTACAAAGCGAACAAGGACGTGATGGAGAAGGCGGCAGAAGTCTACACCCGGCTGAAGTCACGGGTCCTCGGCCCAAAGATCGAGGCGGTGCAGAAAGCGAACAAGGCTGGGACGGAGAAGGAGAAGGCCGAGGAGAAGCTGGCCGGGGAGGAGCTGGCTGGGGAGGAGGCCCCCCAGGAGAAGGCGGAAGACAAGCCCAGCACCGGTGAGGGGCAGGTGGGGTGGGCCCTGAATCTCTGTCTCCTCAGCTGAAGAAGCAGATGCTTTGCAGAACATTCCAGAAGGGGAGCACAGCTCTGCTCTCTGCCCCAAACCCGCCAGAGTGTTGTGTCCTGTTGGGGTCTCTGTGCAAACCCGGCTTTCATCCCCGGGGCAGCCAGTGAGGGGCATTCAGCCCCACTGTATGCCAGGCAGCCAGGGTGCAGGCAACCTGGAGCTCACGCCAGAGGGGTGACGGGAACAGTGCATGACACCACACGCCTCCACCGCCTCCAGCCCCGGGACGCCCAGAGCGGGGGTGGCTCTGTGCAGCAGGGGCAGAGTGGGACGTTGTTCAGAAATGCAGTCGGTGGAGGTTTGGGGACGAAGGCCTCGGGTGCCTTTGCTTGCCTGGTGGTCCAACAGGAGACGGGGGTGTGACCCTCGGGGCTGCTGGGCTGACATGGCCCCATCACGGGTGTGCAGAGCAGCCCTTTGGAGATGGGATGGGCAAACTTGGGACAGGGCTCTGTGGCCCAGGGGGGCAGCCGGAGGCTGGTGTCTTTTTTTCTTTCTTTTTTTTTTCTTTTTTTTTTTTTCTCTGAGATGGGGTCTCGCTCCGGCCCCCAGGCTGGAGTGCAGTGGTACAATCACAGCTCACTGCAACCTTGACCTCCTGGGGGCAAGCCATCCTCCCACCTCAGCCTCCAGAGGAGCTGGGATTGTAGACCTACACCACTACGCCCTGCTAATTTTTTTCTTTTTTTTTTTTTTTTGAGACAGAGTCTCGCTCTGTCCCCCAGGCTGGAATGCAGTGGCGAGATCTCAGCTCATTGCAAGCTCCGCCTCTCAGGTTCACACCATTCTCCTGCCTCAGCCTCCCAAGTAGCTGGGACTATAGGCGCCCACCACCACGCCCAGCTAATTTTTTGTATTTTTTAGTAGAGACGTGGTTTCACTGTGTTGGCCAGGATGGTCTCGATCTCCTGACCTCGTGATCCGCCCGCCTTGGCCTCCCAAAGTGCTGGGATTACAGGCGTGAGCCAATGCGCCCGGCCAGGCCTCGCTAATTTTTGTATTTTTTGTAGAGACAGGGTTGCTGGCATGTTGCTCAGGCTGGTCTTGAACTCCTGGGCTCAAGTGAGCCTCACATCTCAGCCTCCCATGTGCTGGGATTGTGAGCCCCCGTGCCCGACCTCATCTTCCTTTGTCTTTCCCAGGCTGCTGTGGGCTTTTCTCAGGGCTGCCGACGTTCCCTCATTTCCTGGGCCCCCAGTTCTCCAGGCCAGTGTGGCTGGGGCTGGAGCCGGCTGCAGGATGGGACCATGCAGAGCCCGGCCTCCATGTCGGGAGCTTGCAGACTAGGCGGCAGGTGCCGGGGTCCAGGTGGATGGGCATGCGTCACCCACGGTGCTCAGCTCAAACCCTGGTCCAGTCCTCGAGGGGGAAGGGTTCTGGGGTTCCCAGCTGGAGCCCAGCAGTGACCTGTGACCCCTCTGTCCCACTCAGATCTCTCAGCCCCGGTGAATGGCGAGGCCACGTCGCAGAAGGGGGAGAGCGCGGAGGACAAGGAGCACGAGGAGGGTCGGGACTCGGAGGAGGGGCTGAGGTGTGGTTCCTCTGAAGACCTGCACGAGTGAGTGTCCCAGGCCGTGGGGGGTGGCCTCCTGAGCGGCAGCGGCGTGATGCACACCGTGTCTGAGCTGCTCCTCCTGTGCTAGTCCCTCTGGGAAGGGTCCCAGGGATGTCGCCCCCCACACAGGGGCCTCCCATCCTCACAGCTGACCCCAGGGCCCCGCTGGCTGGCACTTCTTTCCAGTGGCCCCCCACTGAGGCAGTTCCAGGGCTTTGAGCTGCCTGCCCCTGGCCTTCTGGGAAGGCGGCTTCTTGCCGAGCCTCCAGCGTGGCCCAGGCAGGCCCTGAGCATGGGCACCCGGCTATCTGACGGTGCCGGCGCCCATCACCGTGGGCTGCTGTCTGGTATAAGGCTCAGTGGAGTCACTCGCTTATACAGCAGCTGCCTTGTGCTAGGCCTGGCTGGCGCCAGCGTGGGGACCCTGGAGATGTTTGTGGTCTCTGGTGGCAGAAGACAGACAGATAGGAGGGTGGCACTCCAGCCTCAGGTGCCACAAACGGGCGCCCACTCCTCAGTGCCCGTCCCATTGACCACCCCACAGGCAGGGCAGGGGCGGGAGGGCATCCTCACACTGCCTTTGCTGTTCCCACCAGCAGCCTACGGGAGGGTCCCGACCTGGACAGGCCTGGGAGCGACCGGCAGGAGCGCGAGAGGGCACGGGGGGACTCGGAGGCCGTGGACGAGGAGAGCTGAGCCGTGGGCAACCAGGCCCCGCCCCCGCCCGAGCTCAGGCTGCCCCTCTCCTTCCCCGGCTCACGGGAGAGCAGAGTGGAGAACTGTGGGGAACGCCGTGCTGTTTGTATTTGTTCCCTTGGGTTTTTTTTTTCTGCCTAATTTCTGTGATTTCCAACCACCATGAAATGACTATAAAGGGTTTTTTAATGAAAAAAGAAATCACTTTTATTGGCTTGGTTTTCTAGCATTGCTGGTGCAGTGGGGGCCTGAGCTGGGGAGCAGTTGGCAGCGTCACTGGGCCTGTTTGGGACTGGGTTGAGCCATCGAGCCACCGTGAGAAGCAACTAAAAGGCACTCTGGGCCCAGCCCAACCCTGAAAGGCCGGTGGCGGGAGAGCTGGGCGGGAGCAAGCCCTTCCCAGGAGACAAGAGGGAAGCCGGGGCTGCTAAGCTTTGATGCCTGCTCCCCGCCCCCGCCCCGCGAGGCTGGGGTTTGACGCTTCCTGTGTCTGGCAGCCCAGCATCCAGGCAGGTGAGCAGGTCACATGTGGGGAGGGTGAGGGCCGCCAAGGCTGGGCTGGGAGGGTGGAGACCGGGCCTTCCCTGAGGACCACTGCTAGCTGACAGTGGTCTCCAGTGTTCAAGGGGCGTGGGCCTCAGGGGCCAGCCTCGACTCACCCGCACACTGTGTGACTTTGGGCAAGTTGCCCTCCCACTCTGGGCTTCTCTTTCCTTCTCTGCATAAGGGACTGTCACGTGGGCACGGCCCCTAGCAAGTCACACCGTGTACCGAAGTTGCTTATTCCACAGTGGCGTCTCGGGTTTGTCCTCCTGCCCAGCATGGCCGAGTTGCCTCCGTCCCAGTAAGAATTAGGCTGTGGTATGGCGGGAAGGGACTTCCTGAGCCCCGGCTCCATGCTTGGTTGGCTGGACGTAAGCTGCAGTCACTGTGCCTGGATTTCTGCAAATGGCTGTGTCTGGCGTCCTAGCCTCCGCAGGCCATGGGCGTCAGGCTGAGGAGAAGGCTCGGGAAGGCTCCTGACCTGTCCCCTCTCACGGCCTGTCACCTGAGGCTGCCCCTGCTGTGCCGGCTTCCCCGGTTTGGAGCTGAGCTGAATGCCCCGGCCCCTCACGGTCCCTGGCGCGCACTGTGACCCCTGGGGGCCAGCAGTCCCTCCACCCTTCCTCCCCCCGGGTCTGGGGTTCCTGGGCTCGTGTCCTAAGAGAGCGTGGAAAAGGGACAGAAAGGTTCTCTTACCGGGGGAGTGGGGATATGGCTTCCTGGGGAGGCCGTGCTGAACGGCTCTTCCCCCTGCACTGAGCACAGCCGCAGCGCGCTTCTCACACCTGACCTGAGCCTGCCAGCCTCAGGTTGTGAGGCCCAGGTCGGGCGACCTTGCCAGGTGGCTGGGTCCGCTGCCGCCAGTGTCTCTGATGCCCACAGCCTCCCCCAGCCCCGCTTCCTTTGCAGCCCAGTGCTTGGGTGGGTGGTCCTGAGGACCCAGGGGAGCATGCAGGGGAGAAGGTGCCATGTCACAGGCACGCAGCCTCTGTGGCTGTTCTCAGCCCTGTCCAATCCCTCCATGAGGCACAGTTCCCTGTGAGGAAGCCCTTCGCCTGTGTTCTCCAGGGGCAGCTGCTGGGCCCAGCCTCCCCAGGGGCCTCAGAGCCCCAGGTGCCCGGCTAGGCCTCTGGTGGGCAGCTGGAGGCAAAAGAAGCCTGTTTGCTTGTTTTTGCACCCCCCCACCCCCTGCAAATTGCGCAGTCTCAAGCCAGGCTGGTGCAAAGCCCCAGCTGTGGCTGCCGTGGCTCCTGGCAGCTTTGTCCCCGCTGTGAGGCCACCCCAAGGGTCAGCAAAGGCAGTAGCAGCCTGCCTTGGGATGATAGCAGTTTGACATTTTCTTTTTTTTGAGACGGAGTCTTGCTCTGTCGCCCAGGCTGGAGTGCAGTGGCACAATCTGAGCTCACTGCAAGCTCCGCCTCCCGGGTTCACGCCATTCTCCTGCCTCAGCCTCCCGAGTAGCTGGGACTACAGGCGCCCGCCACCTCGCCCGGCTAGTTTTTTTCATATTTTTAGTAGAGACGGAGTTTCACCATGTTAGCCAGGATGGTCTCGATCTCCTGACCTCGTGATCTGCCCGCCTCGGCCTCCCAAAGTGCTGGGATTACAGGCATGAGACACCGCGCCCTGCCAAGTTTTACATTTTCTAGTACCTTCTAGTATGAGGGAATGTGGTTCTTAAGACCCTCAAGGTGTGCTAAGGCCGGAGACCCGCTTTCAGCACAAGGACGGAGCTGCCTGGAGCCTGGGATGCCACAACGCTGCCTGCACCGCTGGGAGCTGGGGGCCCGGGCTGCAGGACTGGAAGAGCCCTGCTAGATATAAAAGAGTTGCTATCAGGGCAAATGGACGCCTTTCCAGGCTGGGCACGCTGCTTTTTCTCTTTCCTAATTGCAGTACTCCCTCAGGGTCTTCAAGGGAAGGCTTCTGGCTGGCGGTCTGAGCGACCCCAGGCTCTGAGAGGGGCAGGCAGTGCTGGGGAGGAGGTGGGAGGTGCGGGCAGGCCCGGAGCAGGGCGTGGGGTGGCTCCACTCAGGTCACTGCCTCCGCAGCCCTTCAGTGCTCCGCCAGCTGCAACCCCAAAGGTCTAGGGCTTTAGGAAACCGATCCAGGTTTGGGGCTGGAGAGAAGGTTCTGAGGCAGCTCCTCCCTGGGCAGAGCAGGGCGACCCTGCCCCGGGCCTGCAGGCTCCTACAGCTGCTGCCCGCCGGGGGGCAAGGCGAAGGGCCCTACCAGCCAGCTGAGCGGGGGGTTGTGCTGTAGGCCCTCCAGCAGCTGCTCTAGCCCCTGCCACGCCTGGTGCACACCCTCGCGGCACTGCACCAGCTGCTCTGCGGGCAGCGCCTCTACAGAGCCGGCCGAGGCCACGACGCCATAGAGCTCACAGAGGCTGCGCCGCGCCCGCTTCACCGGCTGCTGGAGCTCGGCGGGCAGGCCCTGGAGGCTGGAGGCCAGGCCACTGTAGGCCGTGTGCAGCTGCTGGAGAAGGCCGCAGACCCTGGACAGAGCCCCGGCGTCCCGCTCCTGTGGGAGGAAGGTGCGAGGTGAGTGGAGACCCACGGGCGGGGTGGGGGGACCCCAGCCCTGTGCCAGACCCACCTCCTGGACAGCAGCATCCTCCACACGGGCACCTGAGCCCTGGTCCAGACACGGCTGCCCTTCTGGAGCCTGCTGGGCCTCTTCAATCTGGAGAGAGAGTACAGTGGGGAGAGGATGGCTTCTTGGCAAATGACTTTTCAGAGCCCCCACCTCCCCCCGCCCCGGGACCTGGGCACATTCAGAGTCCTGGGACAAAGGCTGCAAATTCCAAGTCAGTTGTACCACAGTGGACGTGTTGTTTTTCAGAAAGAAGTGGTAGTTCACACTTCCCCACGAGGTCATCAGGGAGCACATGTAACACAGCATTCGTGGTGTCATGTCACTCTTCACCCCTAAACCCTCCTGTGGCTGCCCAGTGCCCTTAAGATATAAACCCAGCTCCTCACCATGACCTTGGTGGGCTGGCCCCTGGGACACCTCTGGCCTCATCTCCCATCACACCCCACTGCTGTCTCCACTGCGGCCACACTGGCTCCATTCTGCCCTGCGGCCACTCCAGCAGCCTCCTGCCCCAGGGCCTTTGCACACACTGCCCACTCAGCCCAGAGCCCACTTCCCGGGCCCTTCACAAGGGCTGCGTTCAGCCTCAGCTCCAGGTGACTCTTGGTGAAACCTTCCCGGCCCATGGTGTGGCAGCCCCAGTCCCTCCCATCACATCTGCTCCTCTCCTCGGGGGCACAGCGTGCAGCTTTGGTGTTTGTTGACTTGGTGTTTATCCGCCCTTTGAGGGGGAGCGCTCAGGACCCTGTCCTCGTTGCTGTGTCCCCAGCACGTGGCACCCATGCCCTGCCATCCTGTCCACAGGGCCCCGTCTTCCTCATCATCTCAACGGCTGCTGGGGATGCGGCACGCAGTCAAAATGTCAACTCCAGACTGCTGTCGCCCTCCCAGCCCTCGCCGCACCAGTGCTGGACACCTGAAGCCAGCTGCGTAGACAGACGCGTCCCCTCGGTGCCCCCCCAGGCATCTCCCCTCACCCTGTCCAAGGCCAGGCTCCTAATATCCACTCTGCAACCCACCCGGCTTCCCCTCAGCCCCCTGCTCTCCTTGTGTGCTCAGATGACAAGCCTCAGGGGTCTCTTGGGGTCCCCTCTCTCTCACCACCTACATCGGACCTGGGCAGCTCTGACTTCAAAACGCCCAGAGCCTAGCTGCTGCTCACCACCACAGCGTGACTCCTGAGGTCCGGCAACACTGGCCTGCGTTTACATCCCACTGTCTCCACCTCCGGCCCTTGCCCCCGCCTGGTGGCCTGACCTCCCCATAAGAGCGATCCTTTTAAATGAGACCTGCTTTGGATCAGGTCACTCCTCTGCCCAGAGCCCTCCCGGGCTCCCCCTGCTCCCTTGAGGTGGAAGCCCAGGTCCAGCCTGACCTGCCCCATCCCCTCCTCACTCGGCTTCAGCCACCCAGACCTCCTTGCTGTTCCTCCAACACGCCAGGGATAGTCCTGCCCCAGGGCCTTTGCACGGCCTGTGCCCTCTGCTCAGATCACACTCCTGCCCCTTCTGACACACTCCCTCTCTGTCATTTAGACCTGACTTCAAGAGTCCCCTCTTCAGGGTGACCAGCCCCAGCACAGCCACTTCCTTATCCGGGTACATGTTCCATGTTTCCAAGCATCATCTGACGCCCTAAACATTCATCTGTGAATTGTCTTCCCCAACAGCGGCGTCCCCCCATCGAGGGCAGGCCTGGGTTCTTGGGATATCCAAGGCCTTCAGTAGCACTTAAAGGAACCAAGTGAGGCATGATGAGTCACACACCACATCCCATTTCCCAGCCCCACATCCTTCGCATGTGGCCCTGAGCACAGCTCTTCTCTTTCTGTGGCCTCCGTCTCCCCTTCTGAAAAGTGTCTGGGCTGAGCTCTGGCCCAGGCTACTTTGCTGTGAGGATTCAAAGGTGGGAAAAGGCTTTGTGATCAGGCGCTGGCACCGTGCCACGAGGGTGGGCCCGTTCCTTCATTCCTCCATGGCGTTTATAGAATGCCTTCCAAGTGCGCCGTTGGCCCATGTGCCAGAGGTGCAGCAGCAACTGTCCACCTGGGGATGGCCACGGTGACGTGAGGTGTCCCAAGGGTCCCAGGACAGACTGGCCCCCAGCACTGTGGACACGGGGGCCAGATGATTCTCTGAGGTGGGGCCACCCTGGGCACTACAGGGTGCTGAGCAGCGTCCCTGGCCTCCACTCTCTCCACCAGGGGCTTGCCCCAGTTGTGACAACCACAGATGTCCCCTGAGGGCAGGTCATCCGCACTGAGAACCCTGGGTTAGACTCTCAAACTGTGGCTTGTCGGCCGGGCACAGTGGCTCACACCTATAATCCCAACACTTTGGGAGGCCAAGGTGGGTGGATCACAAGGTCAGGCGATTGAGATCACCATCCTGGCTAACACGGTGAAACCCCGTCTCTACTAAAACTACAAAAAATTAGCGGGCGCCTATAGTCCCAGCTACTCGGGAGGCTGAGGCAGGAGAATGGTGTGAACCCGGGAGGCAGAGCTTGCAGTGAGCTGAGATCCAGTCACTGCACTCCAGCCTGGGCAACAGAGCGAGACTCCGTCTCAAAAACAAAAAACAGTAACAAAAAAAACTGCGGCTTGTCACAGACCCCCGGATGTTAACTGAAAACACAGTGGCCTGGGCTGCGTGCCAGAAATCCTGACCGAGGGTGGCATCTCGAGGTCTCCCACGGCCCGCCGGGGTGGGGTTGCTGTCCACCAACATGTAAAAGCTGTGACTGCTGGGCACGGTGGCTCACGCCTGTCACCCCAGCACTTTGGGAGGCCAAGGCAAGAGGATCACTGGAGCCCAGAAGCTCAAGACCAGCCTGGGCTACGTAGGGAGGCCCCATCTCTACAAAAAATTTAAATTAACCAGGTGTGGTAATACACACCCAGAGGCTGAGGTAGGAGGATCACTTGAACCCAGGAGTTTAAGACCAGCCTGGGCAACAGCAAAATCTAATCTCTACTAAAAATGCAAATAAATAGTAGCTGGGCGTGGTGGTCGTGCCAGTTGTCCAGTTACCTGGGAGGCTTAGCGGGGAGGATCTCTTGAGCCCAGTGTTTTGAAGCTGCAGTGGGCCATGATCAAGCCCCTGTAGTCCAACCTGGGTGGCAGAGCAAGACCCTGTCTCACCGTCCCAAAAAAACAAAACCCGGCCAGGCGCAGTGGCTCACGCCTGTAATCCCAGCACTTTGGGAGGCCGAGGCAGGCGGATCATGAGGTCAAGAGATCAAGACCATCCTGGCTAACATGGTGAAACTCCATCTCTACTAAAAAACACACAAAAAAATTTAACCCGGTGTGGTGGCGGGCGCCTGTAGTCCTAGCTACTCAGGAGGCTGAGGCAGGAGAATGGCGTGAACCCAGGAGGCAGAACTTGCAGTGAGCTGAGTTCATGCCACTGCACTCCAGCCTGGGCAACAGAGTGAGACTCCGTCTCAAAAAACAAACAAAAAACAGAATTCTAGAGCAGTCCTGTGAGATTCTGCCTCCAGGGATGCACAAGAGCATCTAGAGCAAATGTTGGCCCTCAGGACTGGGGAGGGGGAGAGTGGAGGCCAGGGACACTGCTCAGCTCCCTGCAGGGACCAGGATGACCCCACCCCAAAGAATGATCTGACCCCAACGTCCACATTGCCAAAGGGGAGACCCTAGGCCACAGGAAGAGAGCGAGGCCAGTGGGAGGAGAGGACCACTCTGGCCAGGGCATGCGACCCCTGGGTGCATCTGAGCCACCTTGCGTTGGGTCCTTTCCTGCGTGCACTGCTGCCCCAGGCCCTGTGGGCTCCCTGGATCCCAGCCCGGCTTCACTTTCCCCAGCCACAGCGCCGCCTTTCCACCCCCCGAACACACCCAGCTTGCTCCCCGGTAGCTTGCTGTCGTGTCCCTGCTTCTGGGGGGCCTTGTACAGCTGTCTCCCCATCAGTCAGGACAGGACCCAGAGGGACGGCCTTCCTGCTCAGCCCACATCCCCCTCTGCAGACATTGTTTTGCCATCTTTGTGTCCCCGCTGTCTATATTCTTCTTGAGACAAGAGTCTTGCTCTGTCGCCCAGGCTGGAGTGCAGTGGCATGATCTTGGCTTACTGCAACCTCCACCTCCTAGGTTCAAGTGATTCTCCTGCCTCAGCCCCCCAGGTAGCTGGGATTACAGGTGTGCACCACCACGCCTGGCTAATTTTTGTATTTTTAGTAGAGACAGGGTTTCTCCATGTTGGTCAGGCTGATCTCAAACTCCTGACCTCAAGTGATCCACCTGCCTCAGCCTCCCAAAGTGCTGGGATTAGAGGCGTGAGCCACCGTGCCCAGCTACCCGCTGTCTTTAAAGATCTGATCTAGCTCTGTCACCCTTGCCGGGAGGCAAGCTCCATGAGTGCAGACCCATGGCCGTCAGACACTCAGTCAGTATCTGCAGCTAGGTGAGTCCTGGGCAGGGGTTCTAAGAAGTGCCCTGGGGAAGGGGCAGCAGTAGGGGGAAGCTCTTACCAGCTTGAAGCATTCCTGGAGCTGGGCCAGAGTATCTCTGGCTTGGAACTGGCCGTGCTGCAGGTGGCTCACCGCGTGTTCAAATGCCCGCTGGCGGAAGCTGGGACCCAGGTCGCCTAAACGAACGAAGTAGCTCCCCTGCTCCGCCGACAGCACCTTCGGCCCCGGCTGGGAGGCAGCCAGCTGAGCTGGAAAGGAGGGTGCACTGCTCGGTCCCAGAAGCCCCTCAGAGCATTGGGGCTTGAGTTTTATAAAAGTTAAGTGAGACCGGGCACAGTGGTTCATGCCCGTAATCCCAGCACTTCGGGAGGCCGAGGCGGGAGGATCACCTGGGGTCAGGAGTTCGAGACCAGCCTGGCCAACATGGTGAAACCTTACCTTTACTAAAAATACAAAATAATAATAGTAATTAGCCAGGTGTGGTGGTAGGCACCTATAATCCCAGCTACTCAGGAGGCTGAGGCAGGAGAATCCCTTGAACCCTGGAAACGTGGAAGTTGCAGTGAGCCGACACTGTGCCACTGCACTCCAGCCTGGGCAGCAAGAGCAAGACTCTGCCTCAAAAATAAGTAAAAATAAAAAATGAAGCTGGGTATAGTGGCTCATGCCTATAATCCCAGCACTTTGGGAAGCCAAGACTGGCGGATCACGAGGTCAGGCCGGATCACGAGGTCAGGCAATCAAGACCATCCTGGCTAACATGGTAAAACTCCGTCTCTGCTAAAAATACAAAAAATTAGCCGGGCATGGTGGCGGGTGCTTGTAGTCCCAGCTACTAGGGAGGCTGAGGCAGGAGAATGGCGTGAACCCGGGAGGCGGAGATTGCTGAGCCAAGATTGTGCCACTGCACTCCAGTCTGGGTGGAGCAGCAAGATCACTAAAAAAAAAAAAAAAAAAAGGGCAAGGGCCTGCTAGCAGCTGTGCCTGAACCCAGGCATCCCCTCACCTTGCTCCTCTGCATTCATGGGGTGGAAGATGTCCCCCAGTCCCTCCAACTCATTCTGTAGCATCGCCAAGCGTGGCTTCTTTGAGGTTGTAGGCCACATTCTTGTCCTCCTTGCCCAGGGCGGCTCCCTGGGTGAACGTGGCCACGCCAGTCACAAGGCTCTTTGGTTGTGGCTGCAGCTTCCCCAGACAGGCCCGGGCCTACGCTGAGCATCTCTGGGGGCCTGGAGACACCAGCGAATGGGGCCTCTCGGGGGCTTAGGGCAGTCTGCTCCCCACCATTGTCTGTGGTCCTGGAACTGGTGAGTCCACCCCAGGAGGTGGCCTGGGTACTAGGTAACCAATTCTGGAAGGTGCTGAAGCCAGTATGGATGGCTCCTGTTGCCACGTTCCTGACCACATGAGCCCAGCAGACGCTGCATCTTTGGTTCCGGGGTCAAGCACTGCCTTGGTGGTGTCCAGGCCCTTGACGGCCCCTTTGCCATGCTCATGGCACCGTCACCCCACTGCAGACGGTGTCCTTGGTACCTGCTAGCACAGCCTTGGAGGTGTTTCCATTACTGTCTGCATGGTCTTTTTGGCTACATTCACTGCTCCCTATGACTTCCAGTAGTCACTGCATCCTTAGTGCCATCAGCACCGTCTTGGCTGTGTCCACACTCGTCTGAACGGTCCCTTTGGCCACATCCACAGCACCAGTGACTCCACTGCAGACGGTGTCCTGGTACCGCAGATAGTCTTGGTGGTGTCCATGCCGGTCTGGACAGTCCCTTTGGCCAAGTTCACAGCGCCAGAGCCCAGTGGGACACAGCATCTTTAGTGCCAGTCAGACAGAGATTCTTTGTAGTGTCCAGGTTTCTGGACGGCTCCCTTTGGCCACATTCGCAGCACCGGTCACCCCACTGCAGACTGTATTCTTAGTGCCGTCAGCACGGCCTTGGTGGTGTCCACGCCGGTCTGGGACGGCCCCTTTCGCGACATTCACTGCCCCCATGAGCCCGGTGGACACTCGTGTCTTCGTACTCCATGACCACAGAGACTCCAGGTGCCCAGGCCCTGGACAGCCCTCTTTGGCCACATTCATGGCACCCGGTCACCCCACCGCAGACAGTGTCCTTAGTGTCGGTTAGACGGTCTTGGTGGTGTCCATGCCAGTCTGGACAGTCCCTTTGGCGACATTCCACTGCCCCATGAGCCCGGTAGTCACTGTGTCCTTGGTGCCGGTCAGCACGGTCTTGGCTGTGTCTACACCCATCTGGACAGCCCCCTTTGGCCACGCTCGCTCCCCAGAGCCCGGTGGACACTGTGTCTTTGTACCCATGACCACAGACTTGGTGTGGTGTCTCAGGCCTCCCTGACGGCCTTGGCTACATTCGTGGCACCGTCACCCCACTGCAGAGATAGTGTCCTTGTGCCGGTTAGACAGTCTTGGTGGTGTCCATGCCAGTTCAAGTGTCCCTTTGGCCACATTCACTGCCCCCATGAGCCCGGTAGTGTCACTGTGTCCTTAGTGCCGTCAGCACGGTCTTGGCTGTGTCTACACCCGCCTGACAGCCCCTTTCTACATTCACGGCACCGGTCACCCCACTGCCAAGGGTGTTCTTTGTACCTGTAGCGACATCTTAAATGCTTTTCAGTCCAGTTTGTGACAGCCCCTTTGGCCATGTTCACGGCACCGGTGACCCACTGCAGACAGTGTCCTTGGTACCGGTCAGACAGACTCCAGGTGTCCAGGCTCCCCTGGACGGCTCCCTTTGGCCACATTCATGGCACCGGTGACCCCACCATAGACGGTGTCCTTGGTACCGGTTAACACAGTCTTGGTGGTGTCCACGCCGGTCTGACAGTCCCTTTGGCCAAGCTTACAGCGCCTGTGAGCCCAGTGGAGACAGCATCTTAGTGCCAGTCAGACAGACTTGGTGGTGCCCAGGCTCCCCTGATGGCTCCCTTTGGCACATTCTCCGCGTAATCGTCACCCCACTGCAGACGGCGCCCTTGCAGGCTGTTAGACAGTCTTGGTGTGTGTCCATGCCAGTTCGACGGTCCCTTTGGCGACATTCACTGCTCCCATGAGCCCGGTAGTCACTGTGTCCTTGGTGCCGGTCAGCACGGTTCTGGCTGTGTCTTTACACCCGCCTGGACAGCTCCCCTTGGCCACGCTCGCTGCCCCTGTGAGCCCGGTGGACACTGTGTCTTTGTACCATGACCGCAGACTTGGTGGTGTCCAGGTCTCTGGACGGCCCTTTGGCTACTGCTCACGGCACCGGTGACTCCCACTGCAGACGGTGTCCTTGGTACTGTTAGGATAGTCTTGGTGGTGTCCACGCCCGGTCTGACAGTCCCTTTGGCCAAGTTTACAGCCCCTGTGAGCCCAGTGGACACAGCCTTTAGTGCCAGCTGTGACAGACGCACTTGGTGGTGTCCAGGCCCCCCTGGACGGCCCCTTTGGCCACATTCGCGGCACCAGCTACCCCACTGCAGACTGTATTCTTGGTGCCGGTCAGCACGGTCTTAGTGGTGTCCACGCCGGTCTGGACGGTCCCTTTGGCGACATTCACTGCCCCCATGAGCCCGGTAGTCACTGTGTCCTTGGTGCCGGTCAGCACGATCTTGGCTGTGTCTACACCCGTCTGGACGGCTCCCTTGGCCACGTTCGCTGTCCCCATGAGCCCGGTGGACACAGCGTCTTTAGTGCCAGTCAGGACAGACTTGGTGGTGTCCAGGCCCCCCTGGACGGCCCCTTTGGCCACATTCATGGCACCGGTCACCCCACCGCAGACGGTGTCCTTGGTACCTGTTAGGACTGTCTTGGTGGTGTCCATGCCTGTCTGGATGGTTCCTCTGGCCAAGTTCATGGCACCAGTTACCCCACTACAGACGGTGTCCTTTGTACCTGCTGCGATATTTTGGGTTGTGTTCAGCCCAGTTTGCACGGCCCCCTTGGCCACGTTTGCTGCCCCCATGAACCCAGTGGACACTGTGTCTTTTGTACCCATGACCACAGACTTGGTGGTGTCCAGGCCCCCCTGGACGGCCCCTTTGGCCAAGTTCATGGCACCGGTCACCCCACTGCAGACGGTGTCCTTGGTACCGGTTAGGACAGTCTTGGTGGTGTCCACGCCAGTCTGGATGGTTCCTTTGGCCACGTTCACGGCACCAGTCACCCCACTACAGACGGTGTCCTTGGTACCTGTTAGGACAGTCTTACTAGTGTCCACACCAGTCTGAATGGTTCCTCTGGCCACATTCACTGCCCCCGTGAGCCCAGTGGACACAGCATCTTTGGTGCCAGTCAGTACAGCCTTGGAGGTGTCCACGCCGGTCTGGACAGTCCCTTTGGCCAAGTTCACTGCCCCCATGACCCCAGTAGTCACTGTGTCTTTGGTGCCGGTCAGCACAGTCTTGGTGGTGTCCACACCGGCCTGTACGGTCCCTTTGGCCACATTCACTGCCCCCGTGAGCCCAGCGGACACCGTGTCCTTGGTGCCAGTGAGGACAGCCTTCGAGGTGTCCAGACCCCCTTGGACGGCCCCCTTAGCCATGTCCACAGCCCCCGTGACCCCGCTGGACACCACCTCCTTGGTGCCCGTGAGTGCAGACCGAGTGGTATCCAGGCCGCCCTGGACCACTCCCTTAGCCGCATCCACCACGCTGGCCATCCCGGAGGAGACGGCATCCTTGGCCCTGGACATCTTGGAACATACCAGGTCTTTGGCCCCGGACATCATCTGCTGAGAAAGGACACAGGTGATCAAGAGAAGGACTGAGAGGCATACTCCACCCCCATTTCCGCCAGCCCAGCCCCCTAGTGTGCCTTGGGGCAAGGAACTGCAGCCACCCAGAGGCCCCCACCTTCTCAAAAAGCAAGCTGCTTCCTCACCCCAACCCTGGTCAACCACTCATCGGGCTGTAGGGTGGCACCCTGGCTCTCCAGGACGAAGTCCTCATGAGCTCACAGTGCCAACCTCTTTCATTCTCACGCGCCCCCTTCCCCTGCTGTAGGCAGGCCTCGTCCATGAGAGCACGTCCCAGGCCTGGACTCGGCGCAGGTCCTACAGTTACCTCTCTGTTCCTCTTGCTTATTCTCCATTCATGGCAAATGTTGAGCCTGGTGTCCTAATGACACCAGGGAGACCAAAATTGCTTATTAAAATCATTATATCCAGGCTGGGTGTGCTGGCTGATGCCTGCAATCCTAGCATGTTGGGAGCCCAAGGTGGGAGGATCACTTGAGCCCAGGAATTCAAGATCAGCCTGGGTAGCCAAACAAGACCCAGTCTCTACAAAATTTTAACAATTGGCTGGGTGGTGGTGCACACCTGTAGTCCCAGCTACTTGGGAGGTTGAGGCAGGAGGATTGCTTGAGTCCAGGAGGTTGAGGCTGTAGTGAAATGTGATCATACCACTGTACTCCAGCCTGGGCAACAGAATGAGATTCTGTCTCAAAAATAATAATATATTCAGGCTGAGCGCAGTGGCTCACGCCTGTAATCCCAGCACTATGGGTGGCTAAGGTGGGAGGATTGCTTGAGCCCAGGAGTTTAAGAGCAGCCTGGGCAACAATGAGACCCCATGTAATTACAGGGAGTAATTGGGGTTCATGCCTGTAATCCCAGCACTTTGGGAGGCCAAGGCAGGTGAATCACCTGAGGTCAAGAGTTCGAGACTAGCCTGACCAACGTGGTGAAACTCCATCTCTACTAAAAATACAAAAATTAGCTGGGCCTGATAGTGGGCACCTGTAATCCCAGCTACTCTGGAGGCTGAGGCAGGAGAACCGCTTGAACCCAGGAGGCGGAAGTTGCAGTGAGCCGAGATCGCGCCATTGCACTCCAGCCTGGGTGACAGAGTGACACTCTGTCTCAAAAAAATAATAAAAGTAATCCAGGCGCGGTGGCTCACGCCTGTAACCCCAGCACTTTGGGAGGCCGAGACGGGCGGATCACGAGGTCAGGAGATTGAGACCATTCTGGATAACACGGTGAAACCCTGTCTCTACTAAAAATACAAAATATTAGCCGGGCATGGTGGCAGGCGCCTGTAGTCCCAGCTACTTGGGAGGTTGAGGGGGGAGAATGGCGTGAACCAGGGAGGCGGAGCCTGCAGTGAGCCGAGATCGCGCCACTGCACTCCAGCCTGGGCAACATAGTGAGACTTGGTCTCAAAAATATATATATATATATATATAAATAGTAATAAAAGTTAAAAAAAGCAAAAATGAATGATGGTGATAGCCTAGGAGTTCTAACACTCAGGTGTACCTATGAGGTACTGTTTTGTTTGTTTTTTGAGACAGAGTCTCACTCTGTCACCCAGGCTGGAGTGCAGTGGCACAATCTCAGCTCACTGCAGTCTCTGCCTCCTGGGTTCAAGCAATTTTCCTGCCTCAGCCTCCTGAGTAGCTGGGATTACAGGTGCCTGCCACCACACTCGGCTACTTTTTGTATTTTTAGTAGAGACGGGGTTTCACCATGTTGGCCAGGCTGGTCTCAAACTCCTGAGCTCAATTGATCTGCCCGCCTCAGCCTCCCCGAAGTGTTGGGATTACAGGCATGAGCCACCACGCCCGGCCAAGGTGCTGTTTTAATTCAGTAAGTTCTCAACTGGGTGATTCTGCCTCCAGGGGGCACTGGGTGATGTCTGGAGATATCTGTAGTTGTCACAACTTGGGGAGACTCCTGGCATGGAGTAGGTGGAGGCCAGGGATGCTGCTCGGCACCCTGCAGTGCCCAGGATGGCCCCACCCCAGAGAACGATCCAACCCCAAATATCCGCAGGACTGAGATTGAGAAGCCCTGAAATTATATTCTCAGAACCCGTCTCCCCACTAACTTTGGCTCAGGTGAGCACCTTGGGCTCTGTAGTTGGAGAGACCCAGATTCAAGTCCCAGCTTTTTACCCTTCTGCCCCTGACACGCACTGTGTGGCCTTAGGCATGATCACATGCCCTCTCTGAGCTAATATCCTCGTCTGGAAACTGCTGATTAAAACAGCTGCTCTTGCCGGGCGCGGTGGCTCACGCCTTTAATCCCAGCACTTTGGGAGGCTGAGGTGGGTGGATCACGAGGTCAGGAGTTCAAGACCAACCCGACCAACATGGTGAAACCCCATCTCTACTAAAAATACAAAAATTAAGGCCGGGCGCGGTGGCTTACACCTGTAATCCCAGAACTTTGGGAGGCTGAGGTGGGTAGATCACAAGGTCAGAAGATCGCCACCATCCTGGCTAACACGGTGAAACCCCGTCTCTACTAAAAAATACAAAAAATTAGCCGGGCGTGGTGGCGGGTGCCTGTAGTCCCAGCTACTCGGGAGGCTGAGGCAAGAGAATCGCTTGAACCTGGGAGGCGGAGCTTGCAGTGAGCTGAGATCGCGCCATTGCACTCCAGCCTGGGTGAAAGAGCGAAACTGCATCTCAAAAAAATAAAAGTAGAAGAAATAAAATGGTTACGCTGCTGTTGCTTTGGTCGCATCGTGCCAGGCACAGCCCTGCGTAGACTGGAGCCTTACATGATTAGAGTGAGGTAGCACTGCACCCATTTCACAGATGTGGAAATGGAGGCTCAGGGGGGAAGCTCTGCCTGGGATCCCAAGGCTGTCTGCCTTCCCTCAGGCCCACAGCAGACCCCCAGATGGCAGGAGCTGAAATGTCCCAGGAGGGGGCACCCCCAGGGCTCCTGCCACATCAGACCCTGCCCTGCACGTGCCTCTCACCTTTTCCGAAGGTTGCGACTCCTCTGTCCATGGGGCTATCTGCTCTGAGTGGGCGGCCACTGTGGGGACAGGGGCTGGTTAGGGAGGGCGAGGGGATGCAGGTTAGAACCATCTACCCGGCTATCCATCGTGCAATAGCCAGGCACAGCCTGAAAGGTCAGGAATGTTTCAGCTACCCTGCCAGGGACAGCAGGAGGTGACATCCACGGCTACCAGCCAGAACTGGTCTCCCCCCAACCCTGCTGGGGGCTCCCCCCAAGCCTAGGGCCGCTGTTCCCCGAAGCAGGGTTCCATGGTACTTCCTCTGCTGGGTGCTGGACACCCACCCTGAGTCCTGGGATTCACAGAGCCTGGGGTGGGGGAGCAGCCCCTTGCCCAACCCACCCCGCCCCCGCTGCAGCTGCCTGCTGCCTGTCGCCAGGCCAAGGTATGTGGAGCAGAAGTCAGCTGCCTGGGGCTCTGGGCCCAGAGGGAGGCCCAGCTCAGGCGGCCGCGCCATCCCTGGGTTCCGTGTCATCGTCCATGATTGCTCAAGCTGAGCCACAGGAGGCTGGGGAGCTCCCGAGCTGTGTGACCCCAGGGGAGCTGCTGCTTCTGCCTGGAAGTCTGGATCTCACTCTGATGAGCTCAGAGGGGCAGTGCACCCAGCCTGGTCCATGGTGCATCAGAAACGGGGTGCAGGGTGGGGGAACGGCCCAGGGACAGAGGGGGGGGCATTGCAGGGAGACAGGCTGGGTTGAAAGCCACCTTCGGCCACTCACCCCCCATATTTATGCCTCAGTTTCCCCATCCACCACAAGATGTCCCACACACAGGCAAATATGAAGAGCTCGCCAAATGGCCAGAAGTCCCTGCCCGGGGAGCTCCTCCTCCCAGGTCCATGTGTAGTGTCCCCCCACACCCCCAGCTGGGTCGGCCACTCACCCTGAGCCTGTGGTCGGGCAGCCTCGGCGGCAGGCGCTCCTGCAGGGTCAGTGGCTGGCCGGGCTCTCGCCGAGCTATGTGCATTGGCCACCAGGTTCCGGGCAGAGCTGAAGCCAGGCAGGGACCCAAAGAAGCTGCCCAGGGTCTGCATTGGGGAGGGGGAGGTGTGCAGGATGAGCGGGCCAAGCCTCGGCAGGGACAGGGGTCACAGGAAGCATCGATCAGCGCAATGCCGCCCCAGCCCCTTGCTCCCAGGTGACCTCGGGAAAGTGTTTCAGCCACTCAGCCTCAGTTTCCACACCTGGGCAATGAGCAGACTCAGCCTGCCTCCTGTCCACAGAGGAAAAGATCGTCTACCTCATCTCCAAAGACCTTTTCCTTCCAGGACCTCCACTGCACAGATGGGGAAACTGAGGCTCAGAGAGGGGCAGAGCTGCGGCCGGCCCAAGGTCACCTGCTGGGGAAGGTGCCAAGGTCTGCGTGGGTCCCCTACCTCCAGCTTGGGTCAGGAAGGAAGGGGCTGGCATCATGGCTCCCAGAGCCTCCCCGCCAGCCCACCAAGGAAGCACCTCTCCAGACGTGAGACCCCAGGACTGTGGAGGTGACCTTCCCTGACTCTGGGGCATCTCCAGGCCCCAGCAAGAATCTGCCCCCCCATTTCCTTTCTTTACCTTGCCCTTGGGTTTGGGGGGATCCCGTCTCCCTTCGTCCGGAGCAGACATAGTGAGAATGTGAGAAGCTGGAAGGAGGCAGAGAAGGTGCGTGAATAGGGGTTCCCCAGCCTCCCATCCCACACCCACTCCTCCCGAGAGCCTCAGCAGCCCCCGACACCCACCTGCAGGCCTGGCCTCGCCCTGGTGTCACTGAAGCAGACGCGGCCCCGTTCACCTGGACTGCGCGGGGGTCCCCCTGAGGACGGACTGGCCCTGCTGGCAGCTGGTTCTGCCCTCGGCTCCCTGGCCTTATAGGGTCCAGGGCAGGCACAGGCCCAGCCAGCAGGGGCAAGCGGCCAATGGGCCCGGGGGAGGCGGCCTGGACGGTCACATGACCACCTGCCCAACCCAGTGTGGGCCCAGGCCCAGCACCTTTCCCCTGTTCCCTGCCCACAGCTTGCACCAGGCTGAGTGGCTCACAGGCCAGCTGGGCTCCCCTCCTGGGCCCCCCTGAGGGACTGCCTGTGTGCCGTCCTGCCTCCAGTTCCATCCACAAGATGGGTATAGTTCGAATCCCCACTGTGCCAGGACGCCTTGACTCGTTACCATCTTTGTGCCTCAGTTTCCTGTCTCGTACTCTGTACCATGTCCCGTAGCGTCCAGCTTCCTCCTTCACTTGCTTCACCCCAGTCACACAGGCCTCCTCGCTGTGCCTCTAGCACACCTGGCACGGTCCTGCCTTAGGGCCTCTGCACCGGCTGTGCCCTCTGCCTGGAACACCTCCCCACAGGTTCCCACAGAACAGTGCCTGGCATACATTTGGTGCTTAATACACGTTTGGCTCAATAGAACAACACAGAGAGTGATTGTGAGCCTCTGTGAGATGAGGTCATGCACTGAACAAATGCTACCTTTGCGTTACCCAGGCAGAAGCAGGGTCTCAGGGTCTCTGCGAGGAGCAGAGGGTGTCCTCAGTGTGGAGGGGAGCCCGTCACTCTCCAGAAGGGACTTGGACCAAAATGCAGACCAAGATGGAGCACTAGCCAAGCGGGGCACCCTAGGAGTGGAAACCCAGCCTGGGGGGCTTGGGCCAACCCAGGGAGGCTCCCTGGAGGAGACGTCTTGTTCCAAAAAAAACTGGTGAGGACGGGATTCAAACCTAGACCCGGAACATTCGTGCTGAGCCCAGCCTATGTGCTGGGCTGGCTGTGGGTGGGTGGGCAGAGGAATGACTGTGACACCCACCCTGGGCTGTGTCCCCTTCCTATGTGCCTCCGAGACAGGGTTCCTAGCCCTGTGTTATTGGGGGTGAGAGGGCAGACCCCATGGGTGGCTCTGGGCACTGGGCTGGGAGGAGGGAGGGTCCAGCCACAGGATCTGATGATTCCCAGGCCGTCTGTCTCCTTGGAGCCGACACTGTGTTTGCTAAACAGTGGGGGAACAACAGGGGGTGTGTCCCCCAACCTCTCCTACCAGCCAGTGCTTCCCAAGGGTGGCTGGGAGAGCTCTGGGTGCCCCTCCCCTTCCCAAAGGGCGACCACAGCCCAGTGTGTGGGGAGAAAAAATAAACAAGTGATCATAAACATCCCAGCCAGGATCTGCCCTTCCTCTGCCCAGCACCCTCCATGGCTCCCACCTTCCCCAGGGTAGGAGCCAGGGGTCAAAGCCCAAGTCCCTCCTCCCTACAGCCCAGTAGGCCCTGCATAACCTGCCTCGTCCTCTCCCCACCTTCCCCTCCTCCTCCTCCTCACCCTGCTCCAGTAACACCGGCCTTTCCACTGTTCCCGTAACACACCAGGACAGTGGAGACCCTCAAAGACACACGTGACTGTGCCTGCTTAGCCCCTGACACCCTGCCTCAGGGCCTTCATGCAGGTTGTTGCTTTTGCCTCCAGCACCCTTTCTCACATCCCTCACCTCCTTCTAGATCTTTCCTCAAATATCACTTCCTCAAAGAGGCCTTCCTGGATCCCCTCTCCCTTTAAAAAAATATATACCTCAGGCCAGGTGCCATGGCTCAGTCTGTAATCCTAGCATTTAGGGAGACCCAGGCAGGAGGATTGGCTTGAGACCAGGAGTTTGAGACCAGCCTGGGTGACAGAACGAGATCCACGTCTCAAACGAAAAATAAAATAAATTTACATATATTTATGTATATTTAAATATATATATTTTTTCTTTTGAGACGGAGTCCTGCTCTGTCGCCCAGGCTGGAGTGCAGTGGCGCCATCTCGGCTCACTGCAAGCTCCACCTCCTGGATTCATGCCGTTCTCCTGCCTCAGCCTCCCGAGTAGCTGGGACTACAGGCGCCCGCCACCACACCCGGCTAATTTTTTGTATTTTCAGTAGAGACGGGGTTTCACTGTGTTAGCCAGGATCGTCTCGATCTCCTGACCTCGTGATCCACCCACCTTGGCCTCCCAAAGTGCTGGAATTATAGGTGTGAGCCACCGTACCCGGCCGCCCAAAAAATATTTTTAAATAAAAATTAAACAAATTAATGGGCCAGGCATGGTGGTTCATGCCTGTAATCCCAGCACTTTGGGAGGCCAAGGCCGGTGGATCACCTGAGGTCAGGAGTTTGAGACCAGCCTGACCAACATGGCAAAACCCTATCTCCGCTAAAAATACAAAAATCAGCTGTGTGTGGTGGCGTACGCCTGTAATCCCAGCTACTCAGGAGGCTGAGGCAGGAGAATCACTTGAACCCGGGAGGTGGAGGTTGCAGTGAGCCGAGATCGCGCCACTGCACTCCAGCCTGGGTGACGGAGCAAGACTCTGTCTCAAAAAATAAATAAATAAATAAATCCCAGAGCTTAGCTCAACCCATTCTCTTTTCCTCACCTCTGCTCCAGTGAAACTGATTTCCCTACTGCTGGGCCTTTCCCTAAGCTGTTCCCTCTGCCAAAATGCTTATCCCTGTGTGCTGTTCTGATCATCTTCAACAGGCCTGGCCCTGCCAGGAGCCCCCAGCCTCATGTGGGAAAAGAGGACAAGGCTGCCTGTGGTTATAAGTCAAGGTGGAAAGGGCAAGAAACCTTGAGAAGGTGACCTGTGGAGGACCAGAGGAGGGAGGTATCCAGCTGGGATAGAGTCCAGGAAGCCTTCCTGGAGGAGGCGGCATTGAGGCTGGGCCTTCAAGATGTATGAGATGTGTCCGAGGGACGGCTAGCGGGTGGGAAGAGTATTCCAGGTGGCCACACAGCCTCAGCAAAGGCCCGGAGGTGGGAATGTGCCCACTTCAATGGGAGTAGAGCAAAGTATCCAGGTCAGGCTGGAGGAGGAAGCTGGAAGGTGAAGAGTTTGGTCTGTGGGCAGCGGGGACTTGTGGGAAGTTCCAGAACAGGAGCAGGGAGGTGGATTTGGCTGGTGGAAGTGGTCGGAGATCCCAGAGCCGCCCTCTGGACCACGTCCCAGGGAAGTCAGGGGCCACCCTGACCTCACCATACCACGCTATGGTTTCCCAACACCCCGCCCAGTCCCAGGGGAGTCGACGGAGCAGCCAGAAATGCGGTCAGAGGACAGGAGGGAACCCCCGAGACCAGCCCGTGGCCCTTGCCCTGCCTCTGTCTTCCCATCCTGACCAACGCAGCTGGAGAGACCACAGCAAGACCAGCTCCTGCAGGACCAGGAGGTGGGAAGGCAGCTGCCCCATCTGACTCCTTCCCCTTCTGTTCTGCTCCCTGAAATTTCCACGAAATTCACCTGGACCAAGATAAGAACAGCTTCCATGTGACCGAAGGGGCGATGCTCTTGTTTATCTTTAGAGACAGGGTCTCGCTCTGTTGCCCAGACTGGAGTGGAGTGGTTATCGATCAAAGCTCACTGCAGCTTCAACGTCCTGGGTTCGAGTGATCCTGCTGCCTCAGCCTCCTGAGCAGCTGGGGCACAGGCTCGCATCATGCCTATTTTTAAAATTTTTTGTAGAGACAAGGTCTCGCTATGTTGCCCAGGTTGGTGTCAAAACTCCTGGGCTCATACAATCCTCCCACCTCAGCCTCCCAAAGTGCTGGGATTACAGGTGTGAGCCATATGCCCGATTTTTTTTTTTTTTTTTTTTTTGAGACGGAGTCTCGCTCTGTCACCCAGGCTGGAGTGCAGTGGCTGGATCTCAGCTCACTGCAAGCTCCACCTCCCGGGTTTACGCCATTCTCCTGACTCAGCCTCCCGAGTAGCTGGGACTACAGGCGCTCGCCACCTTGCCCGGCTAGTTTTTTGTATTTTTTAGTAGAGACGGGGTTTCACCGGGTTAGCCAGGATGGTCTCAATCTCCTGACCTCGTGATCCGCCTGTCTCAGCCTCCCAAAGTGCTGGGATTACAGGCTTGAGCCACTGCGCCCGGCTGCCCGACTAGTTTTAAGTTGCAATGCTTACCCCACGTGGGCTGGGCAGTAATGATGGATCCCAGACAGGATGACAGGCAGGTCAGAGAAGCACCATTCTTCCAGATCTTGAACCCTGGTTCTACACACCCCCTCCCTCTCCGTCTCTGCGGTGACACACCTCTGTGGCCCCCAGCCCCCTGGGACTGAGACCCACCCTGGCTGGAACACACATGGGCCTTTCAACAACAAAAAGGACCTTTATTCTGGGGGCAAATCTCAAACAGCAAAGCAAGCGGGTGTGGCAGGCTGAGCAGCACAGCCCACGGGCATCTTTGGGGAACCCACCAGTCCAGGATGTAAAAACTGAGGGAGGAGGAGGACTCCCTTTTCCAAGTTCCAAATAGGGCAAAAGGTGTGTTTCCCTGGAAAGTATTTTTTTTTTTTTTTTTTTTTTTGAGACGGAGTCTCGCTCTGTCGCCCAGGCTGGAGTGCAGTGACCGGATCTCAGCTCACTGCAAGCTCCGCCTCCCGGGTTTACACCATTCTCCTGCCTCAGCCTCCCGAGTAGCTGGGACTACAGGTGCCTGCCACCTCGCCCGGCTATTTTTTTGTATTTTTTACTAGAGATGGGGTTTCACTGGGTTAGCCAGGATGGTCTTGATCTCCTGACCTAGTGATCCGCCCGTCTCGGCCTCCCAAAGTGCTGGGATTACAGGCTTGAGCCACCGCGCCCGGCCGGAAAGTATTTTTTAAAAAAATGTTTGAGATAAGGTCTTGCTTTGTCACCCAGGCAAGAGTGCAGGGGCCAGATCATGGCTTACTGCAGCCTCCAACTCCTGGGCTCAAGCAGTCCTCCCGCCTTCGCCTCCCACAGTGCTGTGATTACAGGCATCAGCCACCACACCCAGCCAGGGCTCACTTTTTAAAGCCCCAAACAGAAGGCATTGGGCAAAATGTGTTTGTTTCTTGGGGAGGCTGTTATTATTATTTTTTAGATAGAGTCTCGCTCTGTCACCCAGGCTGGCATACAGTGGCGCAATCTCTGCTCACTGCAACCTCCCGCCTCTTGGGTTCAAGCAATTCTCCTGCCTCAGCCTCACAAGTAGCTGGGACTACAGGTGCACACCACCACGCCTGGCTTCTTTTCTTTTCTTTTTTTTTTTTTTTTTTTAATAGAGATGGGGTTTCATCATGTTGGCCAGGATGGTCTCGAACTCCTGACCTCAGATGATCCACCCGCCTCGGCCTCCCAAAATGCTGAGATTAGAGGCATCAGCCACTGTGCCCAACCTCTTGGAGAGGTTTGGATTAGCTTCATGGAGCTGGGGAGCAGGACATAGGTGAAGAACCCAGCTCGTGGTTCAAGTTGGCCTGAATTGGGTTCGAGGTCCTGCTCCCCCTGGGCCTCTCTGTCCATATGTGCAAGGAAAAAATGGGAGAGTCTAATACCAAAAAGGTGGTCAGGGATCCTGAGTTGGGTCTGATTCCATAGAAGGATCAAGGCCAAGACCTCGTGCTTACGTGTGGCCACCAGGGGGCAGCAGGGATCTGGGCGTGCAGGTGGCCTTTCCTCCCAGCCTCCACTGGCCCATGTGGTCAGAAGTCCAGCTCGGGCATCAGGGTGTGCTTGACCGAGCAGCTGGGGGTTTCGGGTTCCTGCTCACAGATGTCCCCGGCGACACCCATCCCATCCCCGTCCCCATTCCCATCCCTGTGCTGGGCCTCCCAGGCTCTCTGCTGGGCCGGCCAGTCCAGGTGCGCCCAGCGGGGGTCAGGGCCCCCGATGACCTCATCCACCTGGTCCGCCAGGTCAGGCAGGGGCTCGGGTCGCTCCACAAGGATGGGTGCAAAGGGTCCCACCAGCCAGGGCAGCGGCACGGCCTGCACCACCAGCTCCAGCAGCTCATCCACGCAGGCGTGTGCACGGGCCACGCTACCCCGGCCCTCGGCCAGCACGGCCGCTGGCACGTCCCCGAAGCAGCGGGCATCAGCGAAGGCGGTCTGCAGGGCATCCACGCTGCGCCGCACCTCAGCCACCTTCTCCTGGGCGCTGGGGGGCAGGCCCCGCACACTGGACTCCAGTGCCTCTACCGTGCCTTGCAGCTCCTGCATCAGGCTGCGGGACAGCACCAGCGTCTCCAGCTCGGCCTGCAGGGGGCAGGGACCTCAGTTTCCCCTATGGACGCCCAGGAGGACTGCTGTCCTGCCTCAGTTTCTCTGATGGACCTACAGTGGGGCTGTCAACCTGTGTCATAGACCTCATAGTCCTGTCCCCCATAGACACAGAACGTGACCCAGCCCTGCCTTGGTCTCCTTCATAAACACACAATGGGGCTGGGTGCGGTGGCTCACACCTGTAATCCCAGCACTTTGGGTGGCCGAGTCGGGCAGATCACCTGAGGTCAGGAGTTCAAGACTAGCCTGGTCAACATGGCAAAATCCCGTGTCTACCAAAAATACAAAAATTAGCCAGGTGTGGTGATGGGCGCCTGTAGTCCCAGCTACTCAGGAGGCTAAGACAGGAGAATCGCTTGAACCCGGAAGGCGGAGGTTGCAGTGAGCTGAGATGGCGCCACTCATTCCAGCCTGGGTGACAGAGTGAGACTCCATCTCAAATAAATAATAAATAAAAATAAAGTGGGCTGGGCACAGTGGCTCAAGCCTGTAATCCCAGCACTTCAGGAGGCCTAGACAGGCGGATCATGAAGTCAGGAGATGGAGACCATCCTGGCTAACACGGTGAAACCCCGTCTCTACTAAAAAATACAAAAAACTAGCCGGGCGAGGTGGCGGGCGCCTGTAGTCCCAGCTACCCAGGAGGCTGAGGCAGGAGAATGGCGTAAACCCGGGAGGCGGAGGTTGCAGTGAGCTGAGATCTGGCCACTGCACTCCAGCCTGGGCAACAGAGCCAGACTCCGTCTCAAAAAATAAATAAATAAATGAAGCGGAAGGTGGAGACATGGTTCAGGCTATAGGATCAGGGAGAGAATGTGGAGGGCGGGAAAGAGAGAAGGAGCGGGAAGCCAGGGACAACTGCTTGCCTGGGCCAGCACCCCCTCTCTCCCCACCTCCCTGCATCTTAAAAATAAATAAAATAATAAAACAATAAAACTCCATCTCAAAATACATACATAAGTAAAATAAACACACAGTGGGACTTAAACCTGCCTCAGTTTCCCCCCATGGACACCTCAACTAGCTGACTCAGCAGTTGGTTTGAGATAGCTTGAGCTGGGTCCCCGACAGCACTGGACTGATCCACAATCCGTCACTCCCCGTCTTCCTCCGCGGCCTGGCGGCAGACACCACCTCACCTGGCACTCCTGCGGTCTCACCTGGCGCCCTGAAAGTCTCACCTGGCTCTGGCGGCGGGTCTTCGGATTGCACTGGCCCCATTCCCCCCATAGCTCGTGCACCTTCCCGGGGCGGGCCGGGGTGGTGGGGGTCACCCCACACTGCATGTGGTCTATCTGCAAGGACAGAGATGGTGGTCTTCAGAGCTGAGGGATCTGGGGGTGGGGGTGGGGGTGGGGTCCAGGACCACTGATTTGGCCTCAGTAAGCATTTAGGAGACAGAGGCAGGTTGTGCAGGGCCGTGGGGAAGACTTGGGCTTGGACCCCCAGGCAGGTGGGAGCCATAGAGGGCTGTGGGTAGAGACGAGACGGACCTGACTCAGGGGCTCACAGATGCCCTCTGGTGGCTGCTGTGGGGAGGGAAGAGCGGAGGATGGGAGGATTCTGAGGAGGAGGGCACCAGAAGAGGAAGGTTCTCTTCTGACCTACCCTAACTCACTCTAAATTCCAGCTCCACCTTCCCCTCTTCCACAAAACCCCTCCCCGACTAACCAGGCAGAGTCATGACACCCCTGGGCTCCTCCAGGTCTGGGTTCCCCCAGCGCTGAACACACACAGCTGGAGACAGCTGCACCCAGCTCCGCCTCCCGCTTCAGGCTAGCCCGGGGTTCGGTATTCAGCTGGCGCTCAATCCATACTGATTGGCCTGCATCCCGGAGCAGGGGCGGGCAGCGGGCTCTCACCAGCTCCAGCGTCTCCTGCAGCTGGGCCAGGGTGTCCTGGGCACGGTGTTTGCTCTGCCTCAGTTTCCCCAGAGAGTGCTCGTAGGCCAGGTGGCGAATCCGCGCCGACAGGGAGCCGAGGCGCACAAAGTAGCCCTGCTGTCTCCTCTGATCCTCCACCGAACCCACTTCCGGGCCCTCGGCCTCAACCGCCAGTGCCGCTGGAGGACAGGATTCGGGGACAGCGCGGGGTCAGCACGGCCAACCCCTCCACCTCTGCTCTCCCACCTCTGGGTACAGAAGCCACAGGTTCCCACATTCACAGTTCCCCTCGACTGACATCAACCCATTTGGTCTTCCCCAAGCTGTAAGATGTAGGCACTATGGTGGGTCCTGTTTTACACAGGAGGAAAACTGAGGCAAGGGAGAGGTGAGATCCTGCAAGATGCAAGAAGCAGATCTGGATTGGAACCCAGGCACGTTGGCCCCAAACTGCCTAACCTTTTTTTTTTTTTTTTTGAGACGGAGTCTTGCTCTGTCGCCCAGACTGGAGTGCGGTGGCGCGATCTCGGCTCACTGCAAGCTCCGCCTCCCAGGATCAAGCGATTCTCCTGCCTCAGCCTCCTAAGGAGCTGGGACCACAGGCGTGCACCTCCACACTCGATTAAGTTTTGTATTTTTAGTAGAGGTTTCACCTCTATTTTTAGTAGAGGTGAAACCTCTACTAAAGTTTTGTTTTTTTAGTAGGGTTTCACCATGTTGGCCAGGCTGGTCTAGAACTCCTGAGCTCAACTGATCCGCCTGCCTCGGACTCCCAAAGTGCTGAGTTAAGCAGCCTTTAAAACATATAGGTTGGGTGCAGCGGCATGCACCTGTAATCCCAGCACTTTGGGAGGCCGAGATGGGAGGACTGCTTGAGCCCAGGGAGGATTACTTTGAGACCAGCTTAGGCAATATAGCAAGACCCCATCTCTAAAAAAGAAATACGGAAATTAGCCAGGGCTGGGCACAGTGTGGTGTGTGCCTATAGTCCCAGCTGCTTGAGAAGCTGAGGCAGGAAGATCACTTGAGCCCAGGAATTCAAGGCTACAGTGAGCTATGATCACGCCACTGCCCTCTAGTCTAGGCAACAGAGCAAGACCCCATCTCAAAAAAGATTAAAATTTAAAAAAGAATGAAAAAATAAAAAAAGAAAATCCACACGAGACATGGTGAAAATAAAAAAGAATATATCATAGTCCAGGCACAGTGGCTCACACCTGTAATCTCAGCGCTTTGGGAGGCCAAGGCAGGGGGATCACTTGAGCCCAGGAGTTGGAGACCAGCCTGGCCAACATGGCAAGACCCCATCTCTAGAAAAAAAATTTTTTTAATCAGCCAGATGTGGTGTCCAGTCTATTCCCAGCTGTCCAGGAAGATGAGGCAGGAGAATCGCTTGAACCCCGGAGGCGGAGGCTGCAGTGAGCCGAGATCACACAACTGCACTCCAGCCTGGGCGACAGAGCAAGACTCCATTTCAAAAAAAAAAAAAAAAAAAAGGTAGTTGGGTGTGGTGGACTCACGCCTGTAATCCCAGCATTTAGGGAGGTCAAGGCAAGCAGATCACCTGAGGTCAGGAGTTTGGCCAACACGCGAAACTGCATCTCTACTAAATACACAAAAATTACCCGGGTGTAGTGGTGGATGCCTGTAATCCGAGTTACTCAGGAGGTTGAGGCCAGAGAATCACTTGAACCCAGGAGGCAGAGGTTGTAGTGAACTGAGATCGCAATACTGCACTCCAGCCTGGGTGACAAAGTGAAAATTTTTCTCAAAAAAAAAAAAAAAAAAAAAAAAAAATTCAGGAGCGCCTGGCACACAAGAAGTACCTAATCAATGCCTCACTGCCTTTTTTTTTTTTTTTTTTTTTTTTTTTGGAGAGATGGAGTCTTGCTCTGTCACCCAGGCTGGGCGTACAATGGTGCCATCTCGACTCACTGCAAGCTCCGCCTCCCAGGTTCATGCCATTCTTCTGCCTCACCCTCCTGAGTAGGTGGTACTACAGGCGCCCTGAGTAGGTGGTACTACAGGCGCCTGCCACCATGCCCGGCTAATTTTTTGTGTTTTCAGTAGAGATGGGGTTTCGCTGTGTTAGCCAGGATGGTCTCGATCTCCTGACCTCATGATCGGCCCACCTTGACCTCCCAAAGTCCTGGGATTACAAGTGTGAGCCACCGCGCCCGGCCGCTTTGCTGCTTTTCTGCTAAGGTGGGGTAAAGCCCATACATTCTTCCAGTGCTGAAAGGCTGGGGTTGGACATTCGCATGGTCTCCAGGGCCAGGCAGGTACCAAAACCATCAAAGTAGATACGATATAAACCACTGAAGACTAGTGGGGTTCAGCAAACTATCTGAAGGGGCAGACCCTATTCGCTGTGTCTAGTTTTTATCTTTTTTGGTATGATGGAGTCTCGCACTGTCATCCAGGCTGGAGTACAGTGGCACAATGTCGGCTCGCTGCAACCTCCACCTCCCGGGTTCAAGTGATTCTCCTGCCTCAGCCTCCCAAGTAAGTGGGATTACAGGCACCCACCAACACACCCAGCGAATTTTTTGTATTTTTAGTAGAGATGGGGTTTCACTATGTTGGCCAGGCTAGTCTCGATCTCCTGACCTCGTGATCCGCCCGCCTTGGCCTCACAAAGTGCTGGGATTACAGGCGTGAGCCACGGTGCCTGGCAGTGTGTCTAGTTTTTCAAAACAAGCCAAGAATTGGGACATGTAATGCAAAATCTGGTTGTTAAATGCATGCAAAGAATGAAAATATTTAAAACACACTGCATAGGCATTTAGGGGGTCCACCAGTTTGGGACCTCAAGTCTAAAAGCCCTATATGCCCTTAGGGTCTGGGTATTCTGACTCCTGGCAGGATGCAGGTTGGGAGACCATGGAAGTGACTGGGAGGGAGGACAGGCCTGGTTTCAAGTACTGTGTTTCCTGATCTGCTGTGTGACCTTGGGTGAGTCTCAGACCTCTCTGATCTGTACCACAGGGGGATGGGGACTGGGCAGGACTCCTCAGCGGTTAGGGATGAGGGTGTCGTCCTCACCGAGCTCTTCCTCCGTCATGGGTAGGAAGTGATCCACCAGCTCCTCTGATTTTTCCAGCACAACGTCCATGGCATGGCTCACGGAGCGCTTCAGCTCCACACTCCAGCGCCGGCCACGCCGGGCCAGGTCCACCACACCCGTGACACTGCTGGCCACCGCGTCCTTGGCCGAGGTCACCACCTGGAAGGAAGGGCCCCCCCTACTCCAGGCACCGCGGGACTCCAGCTCCATTTCTGCCACCCTAGTTCCCTGGGGCTGGGACTCAAAGATGCCTGGACTTCCTCCTGGCTCCGTGCCTCAGTTTCCCCTATAAAAGGGGTGATAAAATCCTTCCCTCAGAGGGTGTTGAGGCAGTTACCCGCCCTTACTAGCAATACATATATATACACACACACATATACACATATATACACACATATACCTATATATGCATATATACATATATACATGTATAAATATATGTACATGTATACTATATATACATATATACACACACATGTATGTGTGTGTGTATATGTGTGTGTGTGTATATATATATATTGCAGTTATCTTAACCTGGCTGTTTTTTCTCGAGTTAACTAAAAGACTGGCTGGCACCATCCCTTCCTCCCTCCCGCGTCTACTCTGGCCTGCCCCCACTGGAGGTCCCCATGTCTAGTTATCTGAGGTACCGTCTCCGAAGGTTGCTGCAGAAAGGGAAGCTTCTCCTCCAGCTTGTCCAGGCCCCTGCAGGCGAGACTGTTCACGGAGGCCACTGAAGGGAGGGAGAGAGGCAAGGAGACTCGGGGAGATGCAGAGGGAGATAGGGACACAGTGAGAGTTGTAGAGGGAGGGAATGCTAGAGAGAGAAGCAGAGACAGAGAAGGAAGGAGACCAGGAGAGACAGGGAGAGACCAAACAGAATGATGGAGACGAGACCCACACCAGGAGAGGGACAAGCTTCCTGAGACCTTACAGCAAAAAGCCACAAAGACACTGGGGCAGATACCCGAGGCTCCTGGAGACAGACGCCAGTAGAGGGAGATGCGGAGAAGGCTTAGACCACAGGGGGACCTGGCTGCCTCCCTAGGTGAGACTGGGCGCCCTGAGGGTGTGGGTATGCCACTGGGTTGGGCACTGCCTCCTCTGTTCTCCTGCCTGGGCCCTGCCACCCACCCTGTTCTCCCAGCACCAAGGTGACTTTGCAGCTGTGCCCAGCTCAGATGGCCCAGCGGACAGACTCAAGGTCACAGAAGCTGGCTGAGACGGAGGTGAGGAGGTGCTAGGCTGAGACCCTCAGGTGACCCTCTTCATGGTTCAGACTATAGGCCAAGGGTCCTATAGTCCCCCCCACCCCGTCATCGGCTCAGGGGTCCACAGAAATGTGAGAACTGCAGAGCAGAGGCTGCCGGGCTCAGGACAGGCAGAGGCAGGCACAGAGGGGAGGGGGCCTGGAGAGACTAATGGACCCAAGGCATGTCAGGCCAACAAACGAGGGGGAACAGGGAGACAGATGGAATACGGACAGAGAGGAGGGGCCCCACCAGTAAACAGGTAAGGGGAGAGGGCCGGAGATCAGATTTATTTATTTTGGAGACAGAGTCTAGCTCTATCACACAGGCTGGAGTACAGTGGCACAATTTCGGCTTGCCACTGGACCCTGGGACCCGTCTCCCAGGTTCAAGCGATTCTCCTGCTTCAGCCTCTGTTGGAGTTGGGATTACAGGCGCCCACCACCATACCTGGCTAATTTTTGTATTTTTAGTAGAGATGGGGTTTCACCATGTTGGCCAGGCTGGTCTCCAACTCCTGACCTCAAGTGATCCGCTTGCCTCAGACTCCTAAAGTACTGGGATTATAGGCATGAGCCACCATGCCTGGCAGGGGATCAGATTATATATATATACACACACATATATATACACACACACACACACACACACACACACACACATATATATATATATATTTTTTTTTTTTTTTTGAGATGGAGTCTCACGCTGTTGCCCAGGCTGGAGTGCAATGGTGCATTCTTGGCTCTCTGCAACCTCTGCCTCCCAGGTTCAAACAATTCTCCTGCCTCAGCCTCCCGAGGACCTGGGATTACAGGTGCCTGCCACCACACCCGGCTAAGTTTTGTATTTTTAGTAGAGATGGGGTTTCACTATGTTGGCCAGGCTGGTCTTGAACTCCTGACCTCGTGATCCACCTGCCTCAGCCTCACAAAGTGCTGGGATTACAGGCATGAGCCGTGACACCCAGCCAGATTTTTAAAAAAAATTTTTTTTTTTTTGAGATACAGGATCTCACTATGTTGCCTCGGCTGGTCTTGAACTCCTGGCCTCAAGTGATGCCTCCTGCCTCGGCCTCCCAAAGCGCTGGGATCATAGGCATGAGCCGCCATGCCCAGCTGGTGATCAGATTAAAGAGGGACTTAAGTGCAGAGATTGAGGAGAGGCAGCATGGCAGTGGGACAGGTTAGGCTGAAGATGATTCCCAGGAATGTCATGCAGATAGACCAAGGAGGATGGGACGGGGGGCAAGCCACAGTTCTGGGAAAATGAGCTGGGGCACTCACGCTGGGGCTGCAGGTGCTCCAGCAGCGGCTGGGCGTGGTCCAGGGCACGGGTGGTGAGGCCGCACACGCAGTTCTCAGCCAGGCGGCAGGCAGAGCCCAGCAGCGGGTGCCTGTCCTTGGCCGCGCTGTAAGCATCGCAGACCGCGGTGCATGTGGCCCTGACCAGGGGCAGAGCCACCACACGCTGCACCACATTCTGTGGGAAAGGCTGGCATCAGGGGGGGCCCTGGGGGAAGTGGGGCCCCAGCCATACCTCAACCTACTTCCCCTCTCTAGGCCAGGACGAGGGATGGGAGAGTGGAAGGATAGAGTATGGAACACCCTGCCATGTAGAGGCAGTGAAGATACATGTGGATGTGAGAATGTCATGGTTCCTTAACTCACAGGCTCCTCTTCCCATGGTGTACACAGAGCATTACAATTTTGTTTTCTTTTGTTGAGATGGGGTTTCACACTTGTCGCCCAGGCTGGAGTACAGTGGCACCATCTCAGCTCACTGCAACCTCCTCCTCCTGGATTCAAATGATTCTCCTGCCTCAGCCTCCCAAGTAGCTGGGATTACAGGCACCCACCACCACACCTGGCAATTATTATTATTATTGTTATTTAAGACAGTTTTGCTTTTATTGCCCAGGCTGGAGTGCAGTGGTGCAATCTCAGCTCAGTGCAACCTCTGCCTCCTGGGTTCAAGTGATTCTCCTGCCTCAGCCTCCTGAAGAGCTGGGATTACAGGGATGCACCACCATATCCAGCCTTTTTTTTTTTTTTTTTTAAAGTAGAAATAGGGTTTCACTATGTTGGCCAGGCTGGTCTCGAACTCTGACCTCAGGTGATCCACCCAACTCAGCCTCCAAAAGTGCTGGGATTACAGGCGTGAGCCACGGCGCCTGGTCACAATTTTTTTGTTTCCAATAGAGACAAGGTCCTGCTCTGTTGCCCAGGCTGGAGGGCAATGATTCAAGCACAGCTCCCTGCAGCCTCAGCCTCCCAGGCTCAAGCAATCCTCCCACCTCAGTCTCCAAGTACCTGGGATTACAGGTGCACACCACTGTGCCCAGCTAATTTTATTTTATTTTATAGAGATGGGGTCTTGCTGTGTTGCCCATGCTGGTCTTGAACTCCTGGCTCAAGTGATCCTCCCGCTTCAGTCTCCTAATATGCTGGGATTATAGGCATGAACCACTGCACCTGCCCAAAGACTGTATTTTTTTATCTGCATTTGGTCGGAAAAGTTCTGCATACTTCTGTCTCCTGGGTTCAAGAGATTCTCCTGCCTCAGCCTCCCAATTAGCTGGGATTACAGGCAGCCATCACCCCACCTGGCCTTTTTTTTTTTTTTTTTTTTTGAGATGGAGTCTCGTTCTTGTTACCCAGGCTGGAGTGCAGTGGCGTGATCGCGGCTCACTGCAACCCCCGCCTCCAGGGTTCAAGCGATTCTCCTGCCTCAGGCTCCTGAGTAGCTGGGAATACAGGCACCTGCCACCACGCCCAGCTAATTCTCATACTTTTAGTACAGACAGGGTTTCACCATGTTGGCCAGGCTGGTCTCAAACTCCTGACCTCAGGTGATCTGCCCGTTTGGCCTCTCAAAGTGCTGGGATTACAGGCGTGAACCACCGTGCCCAGCCTGACCTGTGCAGTTCAAACCCGTGTTGTTAAAGGGTCGACTGTGATCTGTCTGCTAGAGGGAGGAGATGTTCGAGTTTGGGGGTTCAGAGCACCGCCCCTGGAGCACAATGGCCTCTGTTCACTTCTGGTTCAACTGCCTCCAAGCTGTGTGAACTTGGGCAAGGAACTGAGCCATTCAGTGCCTTGGTTTCCCCATCTATGAAATGCATTACTAGGGTTGTGATGGGGTATTCAAGGAGCCAATATACATGAAACCCTTGCAACCGATACAGTGATTGCTGCTCTTACTATTGTTGTTGTTATTGAGGGCGCCATGATGGTGGACGTGGAGACAAAAGGATACAGGTGGAGTCCCAGGGATCAGAGGAGAGGGAAAGGGTTGAGTAGGGTCCACAAAAGCCAGCTGGGTGTCCGAGAGACACTCCCCTCCCAGGGCCTCATTAAGCCTCCACTAGGAAATAGACCATCTCCTCCATGGACCAAAATATTTTATGAGTCAGGTTTTCCCAGCAAGGAGAGGAGTGGGGCGGGATACCTGGCCTGAAACTCTCCTAGAAGGGACTGTCCTACACAATTCCTTGTGTCCCCGCTCCATGGGAGGGGCAGCCCTCACCTGCTGGGTCTGGGAATCTGAGCCGCTGGGTCTGGGGATGTGAGCCGCCTCGTCTTCGGACATCGTGCTGCAAACAGGGTCACCCTGGAGGGCAGGATTGAGTAAGGGGGGCACCTGCCCAGGCGTCAGATCCTGTCAAATAAACCTCTTGAGGCCTCAGTTTCTTCATCTGAATAATGGGGCATTCTGCGAGGTTCAGACAATGCATGTCCAGAGCTCTGTACACAGGTGTCCAATAATGAGCCTCTGGCAAGGTGGGGTTGCTGGAGTGACTTGAAGCATGGTCTCTGAGGTGAGAGACACCTGGGTTCAAATGCTACCATTAATTGCGGTGTTATTTTTATTTATTTATGTATTATTTTTTAAAGACAGAATCTCTCTCTTGCCCAGGCTGGAGAGCAGTGGCGCCATCTCAGCTCACTGCAGTCTCTGCCTCCCAGGTTCAAGTGATTCTTCTGCCTCAGCCTCCCAGTTAGCTGGGATTACCCACGTGCCACCATGCTCGGCTAATTTTTGTATTTTTAGTAGAAACGAGGTTTCGCCGTGTTGCCCAGGCAAGTCTCAAACTCCTGGGCTCAAGTGATCCGTCCGCCTCAGCCTCCCAAAGTGCTGGGATTACAGGCATGAGACACTGCACCTGGCCTGCTGTGTGATTTTTGGCAAGCGCCTTCACCTCTCTGGGCTGTTTCCTGTTTTGTTAGATGGGGGAGGTCCCTGCTACCCCTGCAGCCCCTGCCTGGGCCCAGAACTGCCCAAGCACCCCGGACGGCTGGAGGTGATAGCTGCTGAGTCCTAGTCCACTCACAGCTCATTTGACAGGCAGGGCAACTGAGGCACGCAACAGGTCCATACTGGTCCCAAGGTCACGCAGCCAGCTAGAGTTAGAGGGGGGAGTTCGACTTGCCGCCTGCGATCCCTCCGGTTGCCACCCCGCGTCCTCTGAGGCCTGGTCCTCGCCCAACTGGGTCCTGAGCTGGGGCCAACTGGGCCAAGGGTCCCAGCCACCTGCTCTGGCCCGTCGTACCCGTCCCACGCCGCCGGACCTTCGCCCAACCACCCTATCTGGAGCTCCTCTCCTGAGCCCGGGGGACGCTCCTGGACGCCGCCCTCAGGGCACTCACCTGTGAGCGAGCGGCTTCAGACCCCAGGTGTCTCCACTGACCCCACGCTGAAGTCTCCACCCCTTGCTCACTGGCCCCGCCCATCTTATATCTGCTTGCGGAGTGGGGGGCCTCCGGAACTGACCAATGGGGAGAGGCCGTGTGGGGGCGTGCCCAGGGGGTGTGGCTCCAGGCTTCCCTCGCCCTCTCCTTGGGCTAGCCCGGTGCTCTGCGGTTGCCATAGCAATCCGGGAACGCTGGATGCAAAAGATTGATCTATTATACTTTATCATACCAAGTTTGTCCACCTGTCACCCTCACTGCTGTTGCCATGGAGATGGTCCATGCGATCACAGCCCCTATGGCCCTGCTGAGTGACCTTGGCCAAGTCGCTGATGACTTTTCTTATCATTAATTATTACTATTTATCGATTTTTGAGACTGGGTCTTGCTCGGTTGCCCAGGGCTAGAGTGCAGTGGTGTGATCACAGCTCACTGCAGCCTTGCCTTCCCAGGCTCAGGTGATCCTCCCGCCTCAGCCTCCTGAGTAGCTGGGACCACAGGCACACACCACCACGCCCAGCTAACTTTTTTTTTAACTTTTTGTAGAGAAGAGATCTCCCTGTGTTGACCACAGGTTGGTCTTGAACCCCTAAGGCCCAAGTGATCCTTCCACCTCAGCCTCCCGAATTGCTGGGATTACAGGTGTGAGCCATTGCACCCAGCTTCTTTTTATTTCTTAATCTGCCCCTTAACTAACCAGAAGCCAGACCTGCCCTTTCCCTAGGATCCCCATTTTACAGCTGAGCAAGCTGAGGCTCAGATACGGTAAATGATTTGCCCTGCGTACCATAGCAGATGAATATCCTATTCCTTTTTTTTTTTTTTTTTTTTTTTTTTGAGACAGCATCTGACTCTGTCACCCAGGCTGGAGTGCAGTGGTGCAATCTTGGCTCACTGCAACCTCTGCCCCCCCGGTTCAAGTGATTCTCCTGCCTCAGCCTCCCGAGTAGCTGGGATTACAGGCGCCCGCCACCATACCTAGCTAATTTTTGTATTTTTAGTGGACACGGGGTTTCACCATATGGGTCAGGCTGGTTTGGAACTCCTGACTTCGTGATTCACCCATCTTGGCCTCCCAAAGTGCTAGGATTACAGGCATGAGTCACCACGCCCAGCCAGGGATCCTATTCAAACCTAGCCCTGCTGGACCCCACAACCCTGCCTTTTCATTGCCGTGGCTGGAATGACCACAGATGTAGGCATGGTCTATTTATTTATGTACTTATTTAGAGACACAGTTTCACTCTGTCACCCAGACTGGAGGGCAGTGGCGCAATCTTGGCTCACTGCAACCTCCACCTCCCAGGTTCGAGTGATTCTCCTGCCTGACCCTCCCGAGTAGCTGGTATGACAGGCACATGCCATTATGCCTGGCTAATTTTTGTATTTTGTATTTTAGTAGAGACAGGGTTTTGGCATGTTGACCAGACTGGTCTCGAACTCCTGACCTCGGGTGATCTGCCTGCCTTAGCCTCCAAAGGGATTACAGGTGTGAGCCACGGCACCACGCTGCATGTTCATCTTTTAGGGAGCTGGGAAAACTGGAGATACCCCAAGCCCCAGGGTCTCCCAAATCTGATTGCAGCCCCCACATGGCCAATGCCATATAAACAGGTGGGCCTGGGACCCCGTCCATCCCTTCGGCCCCATCCCGCCCCTGCAACCTTGCACGGGGCAGGTGCCCCCTTAGATGACCTCCGGCTGGGACAACAAATTGTTTGGAGACCTGGGCAATCTGGTTTAACTTAAACCTTCTCCTAGGACACAAGCCCTGGCAGAAATCCACTGGTAAAATGACACCCGGGCAACGGTCAAGGTTTTATTTCCAGTTAGGTCCCAGGATGGGGGAAGGGAGAGGAAAAGTCACAGGCCTTTGATCCCAACTGTCACCCCCTAGGGAGACCACATCCCACACCCCAGGGCCTGGGCTATGCCTCTTTTCCTCCTTGACCCTGGAGTCCTACGAAGTTGATTTGAGAAGATGCTAGGAACACAACAAAAGCCAATTCATCTGATCCAGTTTTCAAGAGTTATTTATTAAACCCCTTGGGTCTGACCCCAAGCTAAGTGGGACTCAGCACCAGACCCTGCACTCAGAGAGCCCCCTGACTTGGGGAAGACACAGTCAGAGAAAGGCAGGCCCTGTGTGGCCAGGGCTCAGCCGGAGGGAAGGACAAGGGGGCTGGGAGAACCCAGAGATCAAGAGATCTGGGAAACGGGGAACGGCATTCCAGAGAGAGGGCACATCTTGGGCATGGGTAAGGAAAGTCCATCGTGTGTTTTAGAAGCATGCGTGGGTGAAATGGGGTCCCAGCCATAATGGACAGCCCTGAGGCTCACCTGTAAAAGGCAGGATTATTATTATTATTATTATTATTATTATTTTTATTTTTGAGACAGAATCTTGCTCTGTTGCCCAGGCTAGAGTGCAATGGTGTGATCTCAGCTCGCTGCAAGCTCTGCCTCCCGGGTTCACACCATTCTCCTGCCTCAGCTTCCCAAGTAGCTGAGACTACAGGTGCCCGCCACCACATCTGGCTAATTTTTTTTTTTGTATTTTTAGTAGAGATGGGGTTTCACCGTGTTAGCCAGGATGGTCTCGATCTCCTGACCTCGTGATCCACCCGCCTCGGCCTCCCGATGTGCTGGGATTACAGGCATGAGCCACCGCGCCCGGCCAAAGGCAGGATTATTTGCTAAGTGGGTTGCAGTGTTCTACCAGACCCCCCACCCTCAACCCCAGGCCCAGGTCTCACTGGGACTCGGCCACTGCCAGGAGCGTCTGACCCTTCACGGCTTCAGGCCCAGCACAGCGTGTGTCATTCTGGGAAAACATCTTGTCTTTTTGGGCCTGAAGCCAATGATAGAGGTCGCTCAGATTCTGGTCACAGATCCAGGGGTTGCTGGAGATGTCAAAGCCATCCCACATGTCCCGGTTTGGCCGCCCTAGGGATGTCCAGAGCCCCTCGGGCACGCTGGCCAGCGAGTTATTGGAGAGGTCCAGCATGTCCAGCTGCCGCAGGCCCTGGAAGGCACCAGCTGCCACCCTGGCCAGCTTGTTGCCGTTCAGGAAAAGGTAGCGCAGGTCTGGCTGCGGCACGAGGAGATCCTTTCCCAGTTCTTGCAATTTGTTGCCTTCTAGATGTAGCCGTTCTAATTGCAGCGGACCCTGCAGAAGGTCAGGGGGCAAGGTCTCCAACTGGTTCTCCGCAAGGTCAAGGGTGCGCAGGAGGGTGAAGTTGGCCAGCAGCCCAGGGGGCAGTTTCCGGAGGCAGTTCCTGGACAGGTCCAGATGCCTCAGGGCTTTCAGGCCGTGCAGCCACGAGGCCTCCAGGACCTCCAGCTGGTTTTCTTTCAACACCAGGGTGTCCAGGGTGGCTGAGGCCTGGAAGAGGCCTGGGGGCAGCCCGGTCAGGGAGTTTCGAGTTAGATCCAGCACCCTCAGCTGCGGCACTGGCCGCAGGAACTCGGGTGAGAGGTTTTCCAGTCTGTTGCTGGAGAGGTGCAATTCTTGGAGCTTAGAGGCGTCCTGGAGGAGGCTGGCTGGCAGGAGTGTCAGGTTGAAGAACTCCACGGCCAGGTGCACAGTGTCGGCTGGCAGGTAGCTGGGGATTTGGGCAGGTGGTTGGCAGGAGATGGAGCTGCCATGGTCTGAGCGGAACACCTGGCAGTCTTTGGGGCTCAGGGTGACCCCGCAGGCTGAGGCCGCCAATAGCAGCAGCAGGAACAGGGTTCTAGAAAGATGGGGTTGAAAGCCCCCTGGGCTGCAGGCAGTAACAGAAGATGCTTACTAAACTACAGTGAAAATACACTCAGCTAGGTGAAAATACATCCCCAAATTTGCCCACTTCTTCCCATCTCTGCGGCTACCAGCCTGGACTATGCCACCTCATCTCTTACCTGGACTAGGGCAGTTGCTTCCTTCTCCTCTCCCAGCTTCTACCCTCACCCCCCACAGCTGCCAGAAGTGGCGCCTGTTGCAGGGAGAATTACAATTCTAAGAAGGTTGAGTTTCTGAGTGTAACTCCCACATAATATGAATATACTTCCCCATCACCAGCCTAGTCCCCATGAGCTGCTAATTATTCAGTCCAACTTGCTAGTTTCTTCTGATCTGGCTTGTTTTCTGGGTCAGTCCTTGTCTCCCTGGCTCTGTGTTTTGATGTGAACTCCTATTCATCCTGCAAAGCCCCAGCTCTAATGCCCTCTTTTCCATGAAGAGTTCTCTGCTCTGGGATCCTAGTCTTTCTGTACAGCCTTGACCAGTTGGGTGCTTGGAGGAAGACAGATGTTCAGGTTCACGTTTTTGAGACAGGGTCTTGCTCGATTGCCCAGGCTGGAGGGCATTGGTATGATCATAGCTCACTGCAGCCTCTGAACATGAAAAGTGTATCCTGCTTTGGCCCGGTCTGAGGGTGGGCATTTGGCCTTGGGAAGGGGTGGTTTACACCTAGCACCCTTGGAAGCCTGGAGCTTCCCCTCCTTCTCCACGGCTTCCCTGGCCCAGCAGCCATCAGACATGATCTGGACAGCCTTGGTCACTGTGGCCCCAGACCTCTAATAAGAAGCCTCCCCCGGCTCCATCCTGCCCACGCCCACCTGGGCTTCTGCAGGGGTGTGTGTGTGTGTGTGTGTGTGTGTGTCTGTGTGTGTGTGTATGTGTCAGTCTTTCTGTCATAGTTAAGGTTGATCTGTCCCAGGCTCCAGGTCTGTATCTGCTCCCTGTGACTTCATTGGGTCAGCTGGAATGTGGGTCAGACCTGCCTAGGACAGGTAGTGTGGGGACCTACCTTTCGGGTCGCCGTCTGCTCCAAGAGGCCATGGTAGCTCTTCTCTTTTGCTTCTGGGTTGTCCTGGCCTGGGGAGGTGGCCTTATACCTGCCTGGACTGGGGGCCGGGGAACCAACCCTGGGAAAGTCCCCACCCCCATCAGTTCCTGACAGGGGCTGAGGCTAAGCCAGGCGGGGAAAGGGGAGGGGTTAGGATTACAAAATTGCTTCCTGGAAATTGTT